GTTTCGGAGGAACGTATCGCTCCATCTTCAGGGTAGAAGAATCGCTCACAGATTTTTTCTACCCTGAAGATGGAGGCGATATGTTCCTCCAAAACGTCGGTTAACGCAATATCTACATAGCGCCACATCCCAGAAGACTGCTTTCTTCACCTTCCATACTGTTCTCATGCAGTAATTTTCCTTCTGTTCTGTGTGAATTAGTCACATGTGAAACGTGTAAAGTCACTATGTCAAACAGTCATTTCTTTATGTGGTATTCAGTGCTGTTATGCTTGTCCTGCATCTAATACTCAGCACAATATGTATGCATTTGTTCTAGATGTCTGTGCACTGTTTTCTCTTATTTTATTTGTGTGACAATACTAACTCTGTAATTGGCTTCTGTAGCTGTTGAGTTAGCTGCACAAATGAATAACAGTATTGAATTTCACAAAATAAAAAGTGGAGGAAAGAGGTATTTTGTATATGGTATAAAAATCATGTTCTGAGCACACTTCACGTTTTGCCAAATTATAACAAGTGTGTGATATATCTGCATCATGTACATAATGTTGATAACTTTCATAATAAATTTAATGAAGAATTATCCACTTGCAAGAAAAAAGCAGGCAAGCATCATGTCAGGTGCAGACTTTCCTTATAATTTTTTAGTTTATGTGCATATGAAAATCCTAAATAATTGCACAGCATCTACCTGAACATAAGACAAATATGAAGAGCAAGCAAGCTCCTTGTTGCCTGCCCACATATGATAGTATTTAAGAAGTACTCAATGGACAGCACTAGACTTTTGTTCCTGCCAGGAAGAACAGAAATGATGTCGGGTAAATTATGCACTGGAAAACAATTTCTCTGGTCTTGCAAATAAAAGTAAATGCAGTTTATACCAAATAAAACTGCCTTGATAACATGACAGCTATTTCCAGTTGGTAAAAGGGAACTACTTCCTGAACAATGGGACACTAAAAATCATGTAATAGTAACTGCAAAAGTATCAATGTTTGCAATGGAAAGATTAAACTCATCTTATGTTTAGGTGTATGGTACATGATCAGCAAGAATTCAAAACTATATTTAGTACTGTAAAAACATTTAATGGAAATGTCAGTATTAAAACAGGAATCTATTTTGCTAACACTGCAATTACTATTTTAATGCAATGTCTAAAATATACCCATAAATAACTGAACAACAGTAATAGATGGTGACAATTTTTTTTTATTTTCAGAAAACAGTAACTAATATACACTACAATATGTGTGTGTGTGTGTGTGTGTGCATGCGCGTGTGTGTGTGTGTGTGTGCGCGCGCACACACACTGGATTTCTATCCTCCTCAGATCTCTAGTCTGATACGTGGCAGACAAACACCAGCTAAACTGTGCACTGGCATGTGACCAGCATAGTGCAAAAAAGCCTGACATATAATAAGAGGATGAAGAATTCTGAGGCAAGAAAGCATCTGTTCAACTGACAAAACACAAAAAGCACAAAAAGAACATAAAAACACAGAATGATAACACACAACACAGGGTGGTTCAAAGGGTGTGTTTCCACACAAACGTAACAGACAGGCACACGCAGCTTGTTAATCACATGTAGTGACAAGGTGCCCAGGATGGGAAGTGGGCGGTGCTAGCCGACGAGCGAACGCATGAGCGAGAGACATGCTAGATGCAACCAAGATGAGGCCAGACAAAGAGGGAAAGCCAGAGCTGGCGGACAGTGAGGTCACATGAGGAGGAGGTCACCTGACTTACCACCTGGCTGGTGATTGGTTGGTGTGTGGGCTTGGGGACGGCCACGGTCGTTCGCCCCGTATATATGTATATCGGCCTGATTGAAACAAAACTGGGATTCAGGAGGGGGTGCATGGTACATTATAGGATGGTGCTGACTATGGTGGTGGGGTTGGAGGGGATGTGGTTCTGGAGGGTGGAAGGGGTGTGGTGACATGGGGTGACCAGGGGAGAGGAGGTGTTGGGGGTCCTGTTTCAGTCCATAAGGCCGCGGGGAGTTTACTCCACCTGTAACAGGGATGGGGTGACACGTGTCAGTCAGTTCCGACACGATTGTCGATGTTTCCTTTCCACTGTCGAACGTTGGGGAGATGAACGTTGAGAAAACAAACATGGGCTACCGACATAGTGCATGCAGATTCAGAAGGGGGGGATATGAAACTGAAATAAAAACTGCTGTATGTGTTGAGGGGCAGGCATACAGGGTGGGTTGCACTGCTATTGGTAGATTTCATAGCCTACAGGGGATGGAGTAAAACACTCAAAACAAGTGCTAGGGGTCGTGCAGCAGAGCTCAAAGTAACCTTCATTTACTGGGATCAATCAATTAAAATAAAACTTAAAAGTAATCAGATCACTCTCAACAGCATCAAACTACAAGAGTAACTTCTAATGGAAACTACATTACTGCAAACCTCAAAACACTTTAGTTTCAAGTAGCACAGCATCAAACGTACAAAGAGACAGAAGGGGTGTCATGCTTTACTTCCTTCTCAATTGTCTCCAAAGTTAAAAGCTTCAGAAGTAGTGGTCTATGTATTTACTGTTTCAGTGTGAAGATGTCACTCACTAAACCATACACTTTAAGCCTGTCTTAACCCTGCAAATGCTTTACAATCAATATTAGTTTCTGGACTATGCTAAAACAAACTGAGCCTGCCTCAGCCTTGCCAGTGTTGGATATACATCTGGTGAAACCACCCATGAGCAGTTCTGTTGCATGTAACGAGCTTCGCTATCAGGTTGCTATTTATTGACATGCCAGACCTTCTCTTCAAAACCTCAAAGTTCCAGTGTGTATGCAGTGATTCTCACTTCCATGGCTACCGTTTACACAGAAAGACAAATTTTCCCTTTTCAGATACTTCTAGAATGTCCCTTCAGACAAAATTATTATTATTATTGCTGTTGTTATTAATCCATATCTCTGTTTTTCCTGTGCTTTATACTATTAAATAAATGTACTTTTTCAAGTTATCTGTTGATTGAAAAAATAGCTTTCTAGAACACCATATTAATGGCACTCCTGCTGAGGGGGAAGTTCGTAAAAGAAAAGATGTTAAAAAACATTTTTATTGGTATCCACAGAACAGTTCAGCACATTCTTCCTTGTGCCATGTCAATCTGAAATTTAAATGCTAATACTGTTTGAAATTAAAGTAATTCTTTTCTCAGCTTTATATACTCGTACTTCTGGAATTTTAAATTACTTAAAGATACAGTATGTTCATTACACACTGTATCTATGTACACAATGTTTCACACCATACAAAACAGTAATTCCAGTCCGAGGAAAGAGCTAAAAACGTTTCTTAAATACAATTGTTCTCAAGTATAATCTACCTTGGGGTGACCACATCAAAACAAAAATAAAAAATGAAACACACATTTCTGTAGGTTTTTCTATACTGCACTTCCTAGCCACACATTTCAGCTGATGATGAAGTTTGTTCCTCCTCTTAGACTGTCATTTTGAACTTCTGCAATGAACAAATATCTTGCAGTAATTTGGGGTTATTTGAAACCAAGGTGTGTATAATAACATTTTCATGGAACTTCTAAATACTGTAAAATGTCACTGTTGCAAAAACAGGACATCTGGTCACCCTGTTCTACACTTGAAATCACAAGTCTGTTCTGCTATGTCATTCTTTCTGGAAGAATATTTCTTCCCTTTTGACTAGGTTTGAAGTATAAGTTCCCAGTTCCCAGAGATCTGACAGTTCAGTCTGGCATGCCAGGAATGCCACTATGGAAGTAGTTAGTGTTGATGTCTAAATGTTACAGTGCTTCACTACACTTTGCACACTGCTGCCTCTCTCTTCACCATCTTCCTCCTCAGTATCTGTATTCCCATATTCAATATATCATCAGTTGCTTAAACTGCACAGGGAAGAATGTCACTAGCTTCTACCAACCCTTCAAATATAAATGGTACTTCACCTTTTCCATAATATCTTTCCAGGTGCCTGGATTTACTTCTGTCACATTCTTCATGGTCGTGGTCTGGTGTTTCACAGAATCTTGTCTTCTGGAAGCAATCTGACGTACTTATGTAATAGACATCATTCCATGATGCTGGCAGCAAGGATACAGCATCAAATATTTTTGCTTGAAAGCCTGATTATACCTTGGTCCATTGGTTGTAGGACCAAATTGCACTGGCCAGCAGAAATTCTGGTCCCTAATTTGTTAACTGACCATGCCTTTGGGACATGCTGCACACTGAATTGCAAATGGCACATTTCCCAATTTTCAGCAGAAATTCTCCCTTCCAAACATGGTACTATCTCCAAAATTATGTGCTACTGTTATATCTGTATGAATACAGCAGGGACTTCATATGCTTGAAGCACCTTGGCTTCTATAACAGGATAGCATAGTTGGTACAGTGACTAGCTACAGGCTGGACAAATGAGGGGTTAGAGTTCAAGTCCCGGTAGGGTCAAGAATTTTCTCTTTTCCACATAGCCCAGAGCGGCTCTGGGGTCCACCCAACTTCCCATCAAATGGGCACTGAGGGCTCATTTTTTAGGGGTAAAGCGGCCAGGGCATGAAGCTGACCACTCATCTGCAGCTAATGTCAAGGTCAAGAAAATGTGGATCTATCTATACATCCACTCCACCACACACATTCACACCACAGTGTTTAATTAGTTAAGCACAGGGACAACTTCACCTTTTTACCAGCAAATGCACATTTTCAGATATATCTATATTTGTAAATAAAAACAATAATTCTATCCTTACTTTCCTTGTCCCCATGATAGTTTTCACCTTCGCATATTTTCCAGAGAGAAAAAAAAAAGCAAAACGTAAGCCACACTAATTGGCAGTAAGGATGTCAGGATATATTCACTAAAAAAAAACTCTATGGCTTTAGTCTACAAGCAAACTATATAGACCGAGCGACCATTGCTTGTCAGCGAAGTCAGTGCCAATTTTAGTGGACAGAGGGTGTCCCGTGGTCATCGCAATGGATCCCCGTGGCCGTTAATCTCGGTTTTCTAGACCAGAGCCAATACTTTTCCATTCAATTAGCTCCTCAATCATCCTCATAAGGCTGAGTGCACCCTGTTCCTGAACCACTGATTCTCAGAAAATGTGGTAGCACTGGGAATCGAATCCAGGACCTTTGGCCACTAGACCACGGAGGCCGTCCATATTCAGTGAAAAGAGATGAAAGCATGTCCAACATCCAGGCTTCTTACTCCTCTTCTCTTACACTTTTGGACTCCATTTGTGGTCCTGTAGGTAAGTCCTGCACACTTTCTAAGCTGATTAACCCATCCATTTGAAGGTGTGAATTTGATACTTGCATTGACAGCTACTACTTTAGCCTTCTTTCTCAGCATATGACCCTTAATTTGCATTTTTAATGTCTACTACTGTCAAAATCACTCCAGGAGCACTGATTCGGCCTTCTTATGTTGAGACGTGTGTTACTTCTTTCTGGCTCTCAACAATTTTTGTCAGAAGTTCATATGCATTACATCTGAAGACAAATGCTCTAGATATGTTCAAGCACTCTAATATTCGCATACGATAATAATGATAGAATTCAACAATATATAATACACAAATCAATATACACTCAACTCTCGATTATCCGGGATAATGGTGGGGATGGAAATCACGATTAATCGAAAAGACAAATTTTATTAGAAGTAGTACTGTAATACTACTGTACCTTCATAATACTATAGGCCTACCTGTATTTAAATTTAGTCAACCTCGTTTTTATGTCATCTCATGGCCTACGTAATACTTTTTTTACATTACACAGAAGTAGGAATTAGTTATTTCAATCACAGTGTTCAACAACATCCAACACTTTTTACGAATATTCACAGTTAACACTTAAAAAAATTTAATATTGTCGTTTGCTTTTTCCTTTTTACAGATATCCGTACGAAGCCTACGTAATATTAGCTTGTCACTTAATAAACTCTTCTTTTCACTGTCAAGATAGTCTAGTAAGGATTCCAAATGATTAAGAGCAGCACCATGTGATATTTTCTTACTAGCAGCAGCGTCCACATCTTCCTCATTCTTACTTTCTTCCTGATCTTCTGGCTGCACCCCCACTGCTTACCATTTCGAAGCCCGGTTGACACGAGTTTCTGTTCAATACTTATCACAACACTCTTCCTTTTACACCCTGACATTTTGCTAATGCATTTGAAGATCGATACAAAGAGACTAACTCGGACGGTCTATCTGTCCTTGAAACATTCCACAAATCCTTGCATTCTTTCACCCCTACCCTACAACATTGTGTTAGCATAACGGGACCAAAAAATGCAGAGCTCGGTTCACACTAGCGCGAAAACAGGGTTACAACTAACCATGTGAAGCAAAAGTGAATGAATATTAAACAACATATAAGCCTCAAAAAAGCCCTGGTTAAGCCTCAAACCGGTTTATCCGCCCCCGGATAATCGAGAGTTGAGTGTATTTTATATGACTTCACAAGATTCAATACATCTTCATTGCACATATGAAAGTAAGCAATGACTATGCTACAACCAGCTTCTACTAGACGAGAGAGAGTAATTAATAATGAAAACAGTGCTAAACAGACCTTTGTTAAGACGTCACTGTTAACTCCACCTAACTCCTGTTGCTCACCGAGCACTTACAAGATGTTGGCATAAGAACCCCTGCTTTATTTCTTACTAATTTCTGCATATAATTTCACAAAAATAAGAAAATGAGTATAACGTTTGGCACATGCCTTTAAATTGCTTCTTTGACTGGATATCCTTCTATGTGAGAAACAGAATTTAAATACATTATTTCTGGGGTGATATTTTTTTGACCCAACCATTTTAATTCTTATGTGGGAAACCATCTTAAAATGAATCTATGCATGTGGAAACAACTATATTATTTATCCATGAAAGAAGAGCACCTCTGACAAACTAAAAGGGCAATATGCAACCCACTCACAGAACATGGGCTCTGCCCTTCTTCATAACTTCATAACTCAAGAATCTCGTTAAATTTTGGTATCACATATGACCAATAAAATCAATTACATATGTTATTTTAGGATACAGAACTTACAGCGCCAGATAGCTGTGTACATGTGCCCCTGACAGTGGTCTTAGGATTGAAGCATGTCAGGCTGACTGAAATAGCAGTGGTTATGCATGTTGTATCTATATATACATGTTAAATCTATTACACAATTATACTCCACAGTGATATGAATTCAACTACAACAGTAGCTACTTATCAAAGTAAATAACGATATTAAAATAATTTTTAACATTCAATACATATAAACATTTGCTTCTATGAGTCACAATTATCATATCTGTCTATAGTTTCAAGACAGAAGACTAGAATCATAACATCCTGACTTTTCATGCTGAAGCAAAAGACTGTTGCCTATGACAAAGCCAACAATTCGGTGAATGTCTGTGAGGAAAGGAGGTGTGAGAAGCACAATGTATATTTATGGTGTATTCTGATTACACACATTTACAAAACAAAGAGAAGATCTGGCATTTAAAGCAGCATGGAATTATAAGACTAGTAATACACTTTCATAACCATCATAAAAAAAAGAAGTTATGAATCACAGCAGAATTATGAGGTCCAGAAAAATAATGCTACTTGCAATTTATGCTGAGCAGCAATGAAAACAAAACTCAATTTTAGCTTCTGTTAAACACGCGGTACATAAAACACCAGTAATTTATTGTTCTTCAGAGCTTGTAATTCAAGATCTCTTTCTCAGTAACTTGAACCTATCACATTTCCCCATGAGGACACGTTTCATACCTTACCATACAAAAATAAAATCTGATAAAATGAATGCTGTTAATGACGAAACACAGGATACAACTCTGACAACATAAGGGCCCACAGGCACAAAGCTCTAAGATGGACATTTTATGTTACGTCACTAACCAATCATTTCAAGAGAAGTGAATATTATGTTTAGCAATGTATGCAATCTGAGGTATATTTAATATTAATAGGGCTGTGGAGGTTCACTCTAGAAGCAACTGTCAGATTGATTCTTCTGTTCAGATTTCATGTTTTCATAGCAGTGGTTATGCATGTTACCATATTCTGGGACGTGATGTGTACTTTGGTAACTTAGTACCAACGTTTTGATGGACCCAACTGCTTCAGTCATCTTCAGGGTAAAGTAAAATGAGCACAGACGGGGGGGGGCATTCAGCAGCTTTCCCCAAAAAGCTGGTACTCACTTACCAACTACAAAGTGTCAGTAATCTTCATTTATTTTGTTGCTTTCATTTATGATATCAGAGGCAGCAGTATGGGTCAAACTTGCAAACTTTCATACTAACCACCAGATCATGACAACAGAGGGATTAGAGGTGACTGCTGAAACACCATATATATTTAGAATATCTCGGACAATGAACAATGTGATATATTGGATCGACCACTGTCACAAACATTCTTTGGGCTCTCTTTAGCTTCTGCTTCTGAGGGCACTTGCATTGACAGGTGAGCAAACTTGGTTCATCCAGTGTCATCAGCATTAACAGCAGGGATAATACCTAAAATATTACTTTCCCCATATTATTCATGTAGAGGTGGCAGGTTACCTGGCAACTGTGTGGTGGCAGTGGGTGCACTAATGGTTCGCTGAAGGCGGAGTTGTTGAGGGAACTGGCCTGCAGCCTGGTAGTTACCCGCTGTGGGTGAGGCAGGTGGGGGAAATGACTCTGGAGGATAGGACTGACGGGGCCCTCCAGGAGTTCCTGGACTGGGCAGCGATCGTACGGACGGCAATTGCTGCTGTGGTGGAGCCTGCTGTCCACGCTGTGTTGTAAATTGCCGTCCGCCAGCTCCACCATAGCTGCCCTGGAAACAACGGAAATCTACTTAGCATCTACAAAATTCCTGCAGCAAAGAAGTTCAGCATCTTGCTTCCATTCTTGGAGATGATAGTGGGTTTCCAAGACAGCAATGCAGTCCATTGCGTCACTGTGTCATCACCATCACAAAAATGCAAATGAAAAACCTAAAAAATGTTACAAAATAGATGCTACAGACCATATGTGTTAACACAATGAAAAATAATGATTTTTCAATTCATTAATACTTGATATGTGAAATTCACACAGCAGAACTGTTCCGCATTAAAAAAAAATCATAAAATGACAGCTAACACTCCTGAATTCCATTTCATTAACAAGTGAGAACATTATGTTCTGACACAATGCAGATCAGAATACTTGTCCACCAGTCTGGTGCTCTTGTCTGAACTACGTATTTGTAACACAGCCTTGCAATATAATCCATAGGAGTCCCAATGTAGTAACATAAATGCAAAACCATAAGCAGTAACAAGGAAACAATTCAAAAACACTAAGTCACTTACACAGCAAACAGCAGGTGACTCTCTACATTCTTTGCTTACAAACAAGAGAAAAACCAAGTGAAAAGAAAAGAAAAAGACCCTTCAGACTTGTGATTAGATTATGTAAAAAAAAAAAGTAAAAGTAAAGTTATCCTTGTAACAGTCCGTCAAGGCCCATAGGGTTGTGAGACGTTGAGGGTCCCACATTTTCTAGACAATCGTTCAAAGACGGCGCTGAGGTTGTCAGCCTTACGCACCGGCCACGCCTTACTCCCCAGGAAAATTATGATTAGAGTATGACTATTCCTAAAATAATATAATAAATAATAATATATAAGGTAGTTGTGAAGAAGGAAGAAGGCTGTCTTACTAATGTCTTCTGATATGCTACATCATGTATTTCTCTGTTGTTCATTTTACAGCACTGTCATATCTCAGGCTTTATAGTGTCAAATGGGAGGATGACAGTTAATGAATCAAAAAGGATTTGGATGGCACCATCCTTGCATCTAACTTGATGGACAGAAGAAAGTCACAAGTAACCAGTCAGGACAGCTAGTGTCTGGGTTGAAATTTGAACCAATCACCTTCCAAATACAAGTCCAGAGAAACAGTACATCTGCTAGGTCTATTCCTTGCAGTTTGATACACAGATGTATTTCAGAGGAATACTAGCAGCTCTCTACCAAATTACATAACAAGAGACCATCACTATCACAACGAGCTCAACTTCAAACCTCACTAGGTTTGCATGCTGAGAGAAACTACGAGTAATACAGAACAGGTTGCACCAGCACAAAATATAACCAAACATCCAATATCATAGTTTTGATGCTTTCACTATCAGATTTGTAGTTTCTTTTACTGCTTAGAAATAAGACCATGACAAATCTTTACCCCCAAGATTACTGGCTTTTTGGACTTTGTCCATTGTCTGGAATTCCTAAAAACACAAAAAGAACATAACATTTTGGAAACTGGATCTGTTTCCATCCTGAGATGAGAGGTGGGAGACACCTATTCTGTTGGGGTCCATCAGAAAGAGCTAACCTGAACAGAGAATGTACATCCTCACCTGAGGAACGGATCCCGTTTCTGAAATGCTGCAGTCTTTTCTACTTTTTAGAATGCCTGATAATGAACAAAGTCCATTAACCCAGCAATCCTGAGTGCTGTACACCACTGTTAGAACCCTTCAGAATCTACCAGTTCTTTACCATCTGATAACCAACCATAAACCAGAGATGTTGTACTGAATTGGAAGACACCGATAGAAATAAAAAGTCACACAAAAACTGAAGCTTGTGCAGTCACTGAACAGACAAGAACACGATTTCAATGTTGCTTACCGTGAGCTGAGCACTCAGCATTGGGTTCTGCTGCTGCTGTAGGCTAAGCCTTGCCTGGGACCAACTACTCGCTGCCTGAGAAGACTGTGTCAGGCTGTTTGACAAGGCAGGATATCCCTGCTGACCCTGCAATATAACAACACAGTACGCTGTTCACAGGTGACACTACAAGCTCACTATCCTACATCTGCCTACTTAAAAACTCATCGTTTTGTGCAGCCCAATATATCTTTCTTATTCTAATTGCATGTAATTTCAGTCTGAACAGACTGTGTTACTTTCTTTTAAAAAGCAATGTTAGACATTGCTAAGAAATGGGATGGTATAATACCCTTGAAACCTACACCACTGAGCCAAAGGAGTCTCAGTCACCTGCCTTGTTGTCCTGACATATCTAGCTGTGGTAACGGTAAAGTTGTCCATGTGTCTAACTGATTAAGTGCTAGGCCATGAAGATGTATGGGGGAGTGGATTATTTGATTTGGTTCATCCTAGTCCATCACACTAGCAATATTAAAAGAGGTTATCAAATCCATCCAGTGTGACTCATTAATTTATTACTCACATTGGACGAATTATTCAATTATATGTACACTGTCGATAATGTGACAATGATATTTAAAATAAATAAAATAAGACATATAAAACATGTTCTCCACTAAAAGTGTAGTTTTTATATTTTAAAATATTATTAAATGTTATAAAATGTCATTAAGACGCTACATGTATATCGTTTATTAAATACTTTAGTATGTCTTTAATTTGTATCATATGTTCTTCTAATTTGCAACACGTTTTGGCTGCACATGAGCCATCATCAGGCAAACTTTTGATTGGTGAGGAGACCACTGTACTGTTAGCTTGTCTTCCGTGCTCTCCGTCCTTGGCACTAGTTAGAGGTGAGTGGTCATCTTCATGCCCCGGCCACTTTACCCATGGGGGAAGAGTTCCCAGTACACATCACCTAGCTGTGTTTCCACTGCATATTAACTCGTTCCACTCATACGTTAACAATATATCGATCTTCAGAATTAACGGGTTTTTGGACTTTGTCCATCATCCAGTATTCTAAAAACTAGAGAACACAATGTCTCAGAAACTGGACATTTCCATCAGGTGAGGGGAGAAGACACCTACTCTGCTGGGTCCCTTAGAAAGAGCTAACCTCAATCACCGTTTCTCACATGTATTCTCTAGTTTTTAGAATACTGGATGATGGACAAAGGCCAAAAACCCAGTAATTCTGAGTGTTATACATCATCATGAGAACCCTTTAGAATCTACAATAACAACATGTCTGTATTGTTGTACAGGCTACATCAACATACAATTAACAGGACCGTTTACTGCAGTTTCCTGCCATCTGTTGGGCAAACACTCAAAAGCGTGTTCATGGCTCCTTCCCCACGGGAATCTTTCATTTAAAATTGAAATCGGCCTATTTCAGCTGATTTTTCTGTATTAACTTCATTCATGTAACCTAATAGAGAATAAGCATCTTTTTTTTGGCAAAAAATAAAAAACACTTGAGTGGGCTATTAAAAAACTTGAAAATATGACAGAGTAGAAAGGGACAAAATTTATGCCACTCACACATATCAGTAGTCCCAAAAAGATTGACAGCGTATTTCTAAAGGTCTCTCTCATTCCTGAACAAGTTAAAACTGAAGCTTATCTTAATTACAAGAATATGTATGCTATCACTTTGCTGATAACTTCGGAGGCTCATACCTGTGAGATGCGAGGAGAGAGCTGAGATTGTTGGAAAGGAGGAAGTCCTCCAGGAGGATGAGGTGAAAGTCGGGACTGAGCACCCTGCTGGTTATTTGTGAAGTTGTTGAGGCCCGATCTGCAAACAGAAAAAACACTTAAAACATTGGCTGAGGGTATTTGAGAACAAGGTGTTGAGAAAAATATTATGACCTAAGAACTGGTGTTCAGGAAAATATTTGGACCTAAGATAAAGTAATAGGCAAAAGAAAATGGTACAATAAGAAACTTAATACTTCGTACTCTTCATCAAATATTATTATGCTGATCAAATCAAGGATAAGCATATGGGTGAAGAATGTAAAGAACTTGGAAGAGACAAGAAATATTTCCTGCATTTTAGTTGAAATATCTGAAGGGACGGGACTATTTCGAAAACTTAGGCATAAATGGGAGCAAATAGTAAAATGTATCACACAGAAATAAGTTTTCACGATAAAGAATCAATTTATCTAGCCTGAGATAGTGCTGGAAACAATCACACACTTTCAGGTTCCATAAAACATGGATACTTCCTAGACTACATAAGTAGCTGTTACCTTTTCAAAAAGTAATTATTTAATGTCAAACATACAGATTATCTGAACTTATTAATTAATGTGATCCGGAGAGTACATGACTAATACATAAAAATTATAATACCTATGAACTCTTTAACAGTGCCCAAAAGAGTGCACCATATAATAGGACAAATATCACAATGAGATATATACCAGATTTTTCTGCCCTTAAACATACGTAGTTATAATTTTTATGATGAAGCACAATTACTAACAAAATCACTGAGTGAATTAAGTTTCCAAAGAACAGAATAATTATTATCTCCATATTGTTCACTCTAATTAAAGTTCTTTTTTGTCATTCATATGAATTATCTCCCTGAGAAACATTAAACTTAAAATTCTCAATAACAAAAAATGCATCTGGGTGTAGCAATGTTATTTTCTACATTTGCTTTATGGCACATCACAGTAACTATACTTCACTTGTAGACTGATATGCATTAAGGCATATTTAACCCCATACAGCACACTGGTTACAGTATGCACAACATACTTTAACATAAGTACTTCATATTTCGATCACAGACTGGCAGTGGAAGGTATGCTTTAGTCATCAGTACAGTAATAAGCAATCTTAGCACACATGTAGATCACAATTTTATTTTACTTATGGTTTATATAACTGTGCTCCCAATAACTCAGACTATACTGTGCCAAAAGGTTGCTGGATAGATTAATGAATGACAAATCAGAAAAGGGACATATAAGGAAGCAATTATATCCTATTTCAAGGCAGTCACTCAAGACCAAGGTAAACCATGAAAACTGTCAGTATAGTCAATGTCACAGACGGGATTCAAACGGGGCACGTCCAAAAATACACATCAGAAGCATTACTGCCTGAGCCAATCTAAGTGGTATGAAAAACATTAAAACTGTGTATTTGGTTTTAAACTGGATTATAAATAGCTTTGCTGAGGTTATACATTTTCCATGAAAATTGCTTTTACAGGCAAAAGAAAAGCTGCCATGTACACAGAAACTATTTCCTCAATAGACTTCATGCTCAACCATTTCCTTTTGGAAATTTCAATGGATTTTCCACCAGGCTCTAACAACAGGTATTTCACAGATGGACATCACCTCAACATAAGCTGTTCTACTTACACGTGAATATAAAGAAATGTATAGAAAAATAAAACTGCCTCAGAATTTTTCAACATACACTCAGGTGTAAGAATGTGCAGAGAACCTTTTCTCCCTATGAGACTAAAAACAAAAATATGAACACACCCAGCACGGTTTAAATCACATATTTATCAGAAAGATAAGTACAGTAATAAATGTCCAGGCCACGCCATAGCTCACGCGGTTAGTCACTGGCTTCCCACCGCAGAGGCCCGGGTTCAATCCCGGGTCCGGTCAAGTGAGATTTGTGGTGGACAAAGTGGCACTGGGGCAAGTTTTCTCCGAGTACTTCAGTTTCCCCTGCCAATCTTCATTCCACCCATTGCTCCACAATTACCCTCACCTATCATCTGGGGCTGGTACAATAGGCCAGGAAGTGGCCGCAGTACAAGGGACTTAGTCCCACCCCACTAGCAATAAAAAAAAATAAAAGGTCAATATGAATATGTGAATATATTTAATAAGCACAATGTATTCACTGATTTCTTCTTCTATAGCATGAACAGCAAGACAAAAATCTAATGTGGAAGCTTTGCCAAAATGGGGAATATTTCCAAATAACTTTTTAACATTTTGGAACAGATACACTAAGAACTGTTAAGACCTTTATCACAGTCCAGTACTTCATGCAATTTACCCGAAGTCCCAATCATGAGCTCAAGACAAATTTGAGGCTTCAGCCTTTCTTGTACCAGCTGAAGTACTAAAGTAGCTTCTCTATGATGGCCAAATGTAAAATATAAGCTTACACTTATTGCTACAATCCAGCCTGACTGGTGCCTAGAAGCTCTAGTGCATATAATTCATACAGAAGATAAGAGATGGCACTAAAACACAAAGTATTTTATTTTCAATAATATACTCTCATTCAACGTTTAAGAACCCACCAAACAATGCTTGCATAATCTACAACACCAGTCATGAATGTTGCTTAGCACTCCATTCTGTAGCACAAACCTGACTTCTGATTCACTCACCCAACAGGTGGGAATCCCTGCTGTTGTTGCTGTGCCACTTGCTGTTGTGTTTGGGGCTGTGGCTGACTGAGGGGAGATGGAAGCTGAGAGTGGGGTGAGTAGGGCTGGCGCTGGCCTGGTGAGATCTGTGCACCCCCACTGTTAAGCATTTGACCCCCATAGTTGGGTGACAACTGTGAGTCAGGAACACTGGATGAACGCTGCAAACACAAAGTACCACTTTAAATAAGACTTTTCCCTTGTTTCTCAATAACTCAGAGATGAATCACGTTCACTGCACACTTGTAACTGATGCGAGATGAGGTATGCTGCAGATGAATCAAAACATTTTGCTTGATAAGGATTTCGCTTATATTAGCAATCAATAATAGTTAGCTTTACAGCCTGGATTTCATTTACTCCATGGCATATTCACATATTTCGAGGACAGTGAGACCCATGAAGCAAAGGCTGTAGTGGGAATTCACAACACATACATCCAGGATGAAGAAATAAGTCTCTATTCCCAAACCTTTAACCTCATCAAGTTACAGAATTTATAATGCAGTATGTCTTACTGTATTATCACAGTACAGTGTAACCCTGACGTTATGAAAATTTATAAAATTAAAATTATATATATATATATATGTTCTAATGGACACTCATAATATCTGAAAACAGCTGAAATACATAAATAAAAAACCTCAATCTAAGGGTTCCCTACCTTGGTACAGCTTTTGTATGAGCCTAGTCCCATTCCATGTTACACTTTGCTCTCAATTTAAATATTGAGAATTTAGTACTGAAATTATTCATCCCACTAAAACACCAAGACATATAAAATACAGATTTTGCTGAACTAAAACATGTTTCGAAGAAATATTACTGGAATAGAAAATAAAAAAGAATACTTCAAAAACAAAACTGTAGTTCTGGGACCTGACATATCAGATGTACAATTCCACTTAAAACAGTCAACAACTACATTTAGTTTAATGGGGGAGGGACATAACAGAAGCTCTAGTCATTTCTAAAAGAAGTATGCTCCTAATATGCTGTTAATGTCATGGAAAATTAAAAATAAAACAGAGCATTTATAATTTTTTCTGCAAAGAAAAGTACCTGTAAGGAGACATTCGGTGCCACGGTATTATTAAGGAGGCTGTCTATATTTTGAAGGCCAGGGGTCAGTTGTTCAACCACAGTTGTTGCACTGGAAGGAATGACCAATTGCTGTTGTTGTTGTGCTTGCAGCAGGCGTTTCTGTTGTTGCTGCAGCATATAGCGCTGCTTATATTGCTGCATGTCGGCTGACGATATCTGTAGCATCATTGTTAGTTAATTCAGTTTAATGGATTTAACATTTGATAAGACAATTATGGAGGACACTGAAGCATGTCTTTCTGTATCCAATCCTGGCATGCAGATGACCTATGAAGTTATGACTTTGGATTGTACTCTACACATAACAGCCATTTATTTTGTTACAGCCATTAAAAAAACGTGATATTACGTTTGCATAACTGAGGAACTGGAATGACATTAGTTATAAGCATTCATGGAATTTACTTTAGTCATTCTAGAGATATCAAAATCACAAAAACTGCATGCTTGGAATGGCGTAAAATCCTGGGTTCAGAAATGTGCAGGAGATTGAAAAAGCTGAGAGTTAGCCCAAGATAATGAGAAATAGTTCACGGAAAATGACTGAAATTATGAATTAATAAAACCGGAGTTAATTTCCATTGTAGTTAGCAATGTGTAAGACGTAAGAATTCCAAACATCAGAACAATGAGTTATCTTGTTAAAAAAAAAAACATATAGAGGCATCTATATTTTTTACAGATATCACTAAAGTTGATAACACAGACTATTTTTACCTTAGCTTATTCATCATGTCATAATATCATTTCTGTCATGCTGTGTCATAAAAGCCCTAAGCTTACCTGGTTATTGATCTGAGAATTGCTGTATGGCATGGTGCCTGCTGGCCTAACCCCCAGTTGTCCTGCAGCTTGCTGTATATTTAGCCGAGGCCGCTGCGGATACATCGGAGGTGGGGGGAAACCCCCTGGTTGTGACATGGATGTTGGTGTATAAGCTGGAGGTGTTCCCGACAGGGAAATTGTTGGGGATGAGGGGCTCTTCACTACTGTTTCACACTGCATCAGAGACTTCTGAATTGCACTGATGGCCATTCTCTCATTTATGTCATGTTGGAAACTATTGGTATTATTAGACGAGGACTCGATAACATCTAATATGTTCAGAATTGTTGCATTGTCTGAAATAAATATCCATTCATAATAAGTGCTCATTAGAACAAGACTCGTGTCAATGAACACGATGGGTGACTGACTACTGCTATGTTTCTCACATGCTCCTACTGAACTGCAATGCTAACATTCCCATTTTTTATAAATGGTTAGTACAAATTACTTTCTATTCAATTCACAAACTAGATAAAACTTAGACTAGACTTTTGTTAAAATTAATAATAAAACACAATAAAATAAGAATAAAAATTATAAAAAGTAAAGAAGTAAAGCTATCCCTGTAACAGGCCATGGAGGCCCATAGGGTTGTGAGATGCTGAGGTTCTCATATTTTCAGACAACCGGCTCAAGGATTAAAAATTATGCATGTGATAAAGTTGTGTACATAACAATAGGTTAAATAATTAGGTGATCCTAAATCCACAATTCTGATATTTAAGAATGGTGGAAAAATTATCTTTCAAAATGTTATAAGCTGCTAGTAGCTTCGTGTTTGTTACTGCAGTAGACCACGTATAGGCTTCATCAAATTTCTTCTATTGTTTGTTGCATTCGCCCACCATGTTAGTATCATAATGTTACCATTTTCCTAGAGACTAGATCCCTCTTCTTTCATGTTACTGGGAGCCAATCTACAATGGTTTCTTCCATGTATTAATAGGCCGCGCAATAGCTCAAGCGGTTAGTCACTGGCTTCATACCGTGGCAGCCCGGGTTCGATCCCGGGTCTGGTCAAGTGGGATTTGTGGTGGACAAAGTGGCGCTGGGGCAGGTTTTCTCCGAGTATTTCGGTTTCCCTTGCCAATCTTCATTCCACCAATTGCTCCACAATCACTCTCACCTATCATCTGGGGCTGGTACAGTAGGCCAGAAGTGGCCGCAGTACAAGGGACAAGTCCCACCCCAACAGCAATAAAAAAAATACATGTATTAATAGTGATACGTTGTGTTGCATTTTATATTTATAATAGGGTTTTGAATATTAATTCCTCTATAATATTTCTTTACTACTTAGAGTTAATGTGTACTGTTTATATTATGCGGTTCATTGCGCTGCATGGTTCATACTTCAGTAAGCTATTTCATTGCATATTATTACATATAAATAACAAAGCCACATCATGAAATCTGTTGTGTGAAAAAAAATGTACTGAAAAAGAATGTACTAATATTCTGTTAAACTCTGAACTGAAAATGCAACAAATGTGAATTCACAGAAGAGTATAGCTTTCACTGTTATGAACAGAAAAGTTCTGCATTAACAATGGAAGTATTTCATCAAACACTCAGTGTTTGAAGGCTGAGTCTTGCTTGAACAGTCTCTCCAACAAAACTGGGAGGAAGGAGATACAGAGAGAAATGTGTGGAAGTAATGTCTTAGGTACAAACTGACTGAAGTAAAAATGTAATTATTTGTATAGAGATGAAATAGTGCATTAATGTTCAAATTATGAAAGACAAATACTGATTAATTATGTGGCAAATACTGTCCAATGAAGTACCTGTACATTATATTACCTATTAAAACAAATCCCTGTAAAACAGTGGCAGTGGTTTAAACATCCTGCAACTGAGTTTAGTGCAGTGGTTTTGTGCTTTGTACAGGAACTGTCACAATGCATGGATGTGTTAAGTTGTGTACAGGGCAAGTCCCCTTTTCAAGTAACCCTTTTTTTATTGCTAGTGGGGTGGGACTAAGTCCCTTGTACTGTGCCCACTTCTGGCCTATTGTACCAGCCCCAGATGATAGGTGAGGGTGATTGTGGAGCAATTGGTGGAATGAATATTGGCGGGGGAAACCGAAGTACTCGGAGAAAACCTGCCCTAGCGCCACTTTGTCCACCACAAATCCCACTTGACCAGACCCGGGATCAAACCCTGGCCACAGCGGTGGCAAGCCAGCGACTAACAGCTTGAGCTATGGTGCGGCCTTCAAGTAACCTTACCTAACATCAAAAGATTCTTTCAGAAATGGTTCTGAATATAGAGAGACCTGAGGGCCCTAGCCATGAAACTTGAACACGAGCAATACTGTACTGACTTAAGGAGCTCCTACCTACCTTCCTCCCCAGCCACTGATTATCTGTGCAACTCCATGGCTCAAAGACCCTGACATTTACCAAAATATTTAAGGAATTTCCCACCTTTCAACGAAGTTCATCACTATCCTCACAAAGCCCACTACTAAACCCAATTCTGAATTAGCTAAATCTAAACCAGTGAATCATCATATTATTTACACAGACCTCAGGCTTCAAAGTGCTATAAGAATTTATTAGCTGTTATAGGGTGTGATTCTGCTGCATTTCATCAGTTCATTCTCTACAGAAATAAGGGAGATATGACACTCAGACCTACCTGCAATGATGGATTCAGGCACAATGTCAATGACTTGGTCTAAAAGTTCAGACAACACAGGGTCAGATGATTGGTTCTCCCAAATGCCAGGGCTGTCAGCTGCACCCAGTGGGCCTGCAATCCTGAAATCACCAGGAGTACAGGACGTGCCAGGAGTTACAAACAATGCCTCCTGCTGATGTGTATGTCCACGCTGCTGTTGCTGCTGTTGTTGCTGTTGCTGCTGCTGCTGTTGTTGTTGCTGCAGTTGCTGCTGTTGTTTCTGTTGGAGCAATACCTGCTGCTGCAGCTGTTGTTGCTGTTGCTGTTGTTGTTGTTGCTGCTGTTGTTGCTGCTGCTGTTGCTCTTGGTGATTCAAGAAGCTGGGTGCAGGCTGCCGCCGACCAGCCACTTGCTGCTGAACACTTGGCCTTGTGTTACTTTGTGTTGTGGACGGAGGTTGTAGCCCTCCTCCTGACCACCCTAACAAGATAGGGATTGGCTATAGTTACAGTCAGTATCCAATAAAATTAAAATACTGCAGTCCGTCTCTACAGAAATTCATTAAAACTACAAAACATTTTTGTGGAACCCACACAACCATTATTTCAGATCTGCACAAAATACTGCATTTGAAATTCAATGAAAGCCTAAATAAACTAAAAAATATAAAACAATTATAGTGAAACCCCATTTAATGTTCCTCGACTTAAGTCTTCTCTCACTTAAAATTCAATTTCACTGATCATAAGCAAACAGTCTCAGTGTTAAATTTTCTCTATTTACAGTTCAGTTTAGTGTCCAAATTCACTGCTCACCCCCCCCCCCAAAAAAAAACATTATGAGGTTTCAGTGCATGCTTAGAGCAAACAAGAGCATTTGCCTTAAATAAATCTTCCTAGAACCATAAACATGCAAATTTCCATATCATACTTATTCATAATATGACCATACAAAGTACACCACTCACCTCCAGGTCTTATTTTTGCAGGATCCACAACCCGTGGCAGCTTCTCCTGGGGCACAGCAGAGATAACGGAGGCTGGTATGGGAGGAATTGTTGTTGTTTTTGAAGGCTGTTTGGCTAAGAGGGAGGCCAGCATCTGGTTCTTCTCCCACAATTTGCTCTTGCCTCCACTGCTGGTGGTGCTGGGGCCAGGGGAGTTCACTTGTGGGCCCGTGAGAAGAAGTCCGTCCAACGTTCTCTTGGTGGAAGACCCCCCACCACTATCATCACCCTCATCACTAGGACGCTTACGTGTACCAATAAGAGATGAGACATTCAGTGCAGTCATGGGGTCTGTGTTGGACGGAGGTGAAGGCGTGGGGTTAGGGAAACCAAGTGACTTGAAAAGAGGATCTTCAGTCTGCTGCTGCTGACCTGTGTCCATTGACATTGGAAGGGGTTTCCTCTCCTCGTCTTGTTTCTTCAGCAGCTGCTGTAACAATTCATTCTGCTTCTGATGCTCCAGGTCATCATCATCGCTCTTCTCATTCAGCAGCTGGAGCACATACACAGTGTTCAATATAAGGCTAAACAAGGTTACGAGACAGTAGCGCCTGTAACTGCTAATTACATTGAAATAAAAGCTATACACTTTTCTCTGAATGGCTGCTTAATGTCATTACCACTTGCTTTTCATTTTCAATTCAGACCTGAAATATATTTTTACATATAGTTTACCTCTACAAATCGTGAATTATTAAATCATCATCATGCAAGCTGATAGGAGCAAATGAATTACCCAAATCATGTCACACGTGTCAGAAAATATGCCATGATTCCTGTACAAATACATTTTAGCACATGCAAATGATAAAACCAGTATAAATACCTTGAGCAGCATGTTGTTGCTGTTGCTAGTGACTTTGGGAGTGTCTGAGGAAGAAGTGCTGCGTGCTCCCACATGTCTAGAGCTTGGACTAGACCTCATGGCTGTTGAATCATCTCCCCGTGCCTCATCCTTGTCATCTTGGTTCAAAAGCCCCTTCAGGATACGATTTTCATTCTGAGGATCTGACCCATCACCCAGTCCTGTATGGTCCATGGGCTCACTGCCTTCTTCTCCACCAATGCTGGGACGTTTGTTTGTCAGGAGATTACGCAGACGTGTGTTAGACGAACCCTCCCCAACATTTGCACCATTCCCCACATCCACAATCCCATCCTTGGAGTCCTTGCTCTCATCTAGGTTGAAGCCTGAACTAGGGCCCTGCTCCTGCAGGGGACTAAATGGAAATGAGTTACCAAATGGATTAGCTGGTGTAGTGGCCCGGTTAGTTCCGGCAGGGCTTGGCTGTGTGGCAGCCGAGTAGGGATTGAGGGGACTGGAGCACATGGCACCTACAGGACTATAGCTTGGCACACTTGGGGGTCGTGGTGTGGGCACAGGTGTGACGCTCTGGCGGGAGTCCGGTCGCTCACCCCATCCGGAAGGGGTTTGGGGAGCTCCTGTACGGTCTAAGCTATTTTCACTGGTCCCCAAGTCCCAAGTTGAGGACGGGAAGAAGTCAAAATCATTGAGAGTAAGATCACTGTTTAGTGTATAGGCCGTGTAGGATGAGCTGGTGTTGAGGGTTATCGAGTTATTCGTGTCACTGCTCGAATTGCTGCCCAAGTGCCCAAACCCACTTGAACTCACACGATTACCAGTACTGGAGTTGGTGCCACTGCTGGTCTGACCATTCACAGGTCCGCCCATGAGTGGGCCACCCAAAGAATTGCTATTGCCATTACTCGAAGGCCCAGATCCCACTGAGCCGGCAGAGCTCTGCCCCATGGACAACATGGAGCCTCCTCGTGGAGAGTTGGTCTGGGAGTTGGATAGATGGCCACACTCGACAGGAGCAATCTCATTATCGCTGCAGATGTTCAGACGGGCAGGCAGACGGTCAGATGGTCCAGGCAGGAGCACAGCCAAGGACACAACACACACATAGGAAGGAAAGAGACAGAAAATATATAAATAGAACTGCGCACACTATTAACTTAAAACATCAATCTGAATTTGTCAGAAGGGATTGAGAACTCTGAACTTGCATGGCAGTCTGCACCAAAATAATGAACATTACAATGAAATATGTGAAATCTAAAGATTAAATGATGTGAGGTCAGGATTAAAATGAATAAGACAGAGAAACAAGTGCAACATGCAACATACACAACTGGAAACAGTGTGATAGAAATTGTAAGAAAGTCAATGTGGCCGCCTTTCCAACACCCAGATGGTGCACTATGCATGCATCAGTACCTTCTACCCCCACTCAACCTACTACTGTGCCATGCCAGCCGGAACAATCAAAACAGAACCAACACCATGAGTAATATACCAACATAAGGCAGTAAAGCTTGCACAACTTCAATGCAGCTGCAACAGCACATTAATAGTTTAGGACTCATGTGAGACTGTGCATCTGAACCATGTACAACACAACAGAATTCTAAGTCACAAGGGAACAGTTACAAACACATTCTCCCTACTGTGACCAACTGTCTTAAATTATATTTTAGAATTCGCTAGTATTATTCCTAACTTCCAGCATAATATTTAATCATGCGCAATACATTATATGCTGTAGATTTAAAGCATTGACATTTACGGCCTTACCCCCTTACCCGCAGCCAAAAAGGGAACACGCATCACGAGACACGATATACACACCATATAAGAGGAACGACTCCCATAGTGGAGGAACCATGCACGGGTTTTGAATTGGAACAGATAAGATAAATATCTTATCAAGATTTTAGTATATAAAAAATTTATTATAACTGACGAATATTTCAAAATACTTTTTAAATAATTTTACATTGACATAATAGCATGCAATGCAATACATTAGTGTAAATGGAGCACCTGATGATGGCACTATGGTGCCGAAACATGTTGTGAAGTGACAGGTAAAAGTGGATGCACTGCAAGACGGACACTGTATATATACCATGGACGAAAATCAGTGCAACAGGATGCTAAAATACAACATTATAAAGATTTTATAAGTGCTAATGTGTGTAACAAAATTAATCTATAAACCAGACAGATATCAACGAAGTAGATGTTGATAATAACAAGGAAAGGAACAATGTGTTTTTAATGTTAAATTTCAAACTAAGTGCAGTGTAACAGCTATGTGAGTGTATACACCTGATGATGGCCGTTTGAGGCCGAAACATGTAGTGTAAAGGAGAGCAAGATCAAGGACATATAATATATTGTTTGCACTTGGGACAGAGTTCATATCATTTACCACCCATTATAGTCATTTCCAAATCAGATTTTTTTTGTTTTAAACAAATATTTGTCTTCACAAAAAAAAAAATCATATGAAATCAAATTAATGTGAAATTTGCGTAACATAAAATCACTGAAGTCAGCATATACCTTTGCCATAATGTGGAAGAATTCAATACAGATCTACACTTTTATAACATTCTTTTCAGAGAACTGTTTCCCGTTGCACAATTTGTCTCAACATTTATGTAGCTAACAGTGAATGTATATATTTCAAACCCTCGATTTTTTTCTTAAGTTGGTTACTGCACAATACTGTCACTATTGAGACTAAACAGTGCTGGCAGTTTCCAAATTAAAATAATCATACATGATTGGTGAATTTATACATTGCTTGCAGTTTACATAATGACATCAGTATCTCAGACTATAAAGTTTCATATGATTGGATGTCTGAATAAAAACTGGTAAAGGTGTGGAAGCAGCAATGGCCCAGTTTAAGGCACTACCCTAGCTTGCCTTGAGAGCCTCAAGAAAACTACAAAAAAATGTTCTCAGCATAGCTGGTGTCCCAACTGAGGTCTAAAACAACCATCTCCCAATTTCAACTGACAGATGCTACCACATGAGCCAACTTGCTTGGTGAATTCAGACATTATGACTGGAAAGCTAAATTATTCATGTAGGCCTTTACCGCTGACGGATTTGTGAGGTGTAACTATTGAGTGCCACAACATATAGCTTCAGAGCGAGAGAAATATCTTTTATGGTATGCATCCTGTTGTGTGTCATACGAAAAATATATAATGGGACAGTCTACACAACAATGGTTCTGAAAGAGATAAATAGACACTACTGTGTCAACAGCTAATAAAACAGATGTTGTTCTTTCAAGAATAATATGGTTCTCTTCAAATGAAGAGAAGCTGAATTTACAATTTCTGAGCATCATTTCCACCTCTGTCATACCAAACATAAATCTAGAAGAAAAAATCTCATGCACTGTGTTTCATTTCATGCCAAGTACCAAATGCTGAACACAATCAATCATTCTTTGGAACAAAATAATACATTTACAACACAATTACAAACACTGATACTTACAGTTAAATTTATCATTAAAGTAAATACAAATTTAAAAACAGTAACCTAAACTCAAGTTCAAATTTAACCTTCCATCAATTGTGATGACAATAAAATCCCATTACAAATGTTAGACTATTCTGGCGAACTTGCTCCTAATCTAGAGATGACACATACTGTGATTACTGTCTGCTATGGCAATTTTCTATTCACAACTACTTCCATTTGAGGCACATGCTTCCAAAATGATTTTTTTTTAAATTTAAACTTAAAAGTAAGGTTTTTTATTTATTACAATCCTCTGTATTTGTTGCCCCCAAGCAGGAAAATGAAAAGCTGTTTTACCCCACATTTACTTAGACTGAGTGACTCTCTTTAACTCTATAACATTTCCACATCCAGAAGTTAACTCTGGGCAGAAGATATATTCAAAATTCCACTCTACATCCTTAAAACAGTTCACATACTGCAAAACTACACAGCTCCCTAAGACGAGGAGATCCTAGGTAATTAAGGTGAGATGCTGTAAGGTTATGTCCAATACATGCATCAAGCCATATGTCCTGTGAATATTATTAGTGCAGAGAATCAGAACACTAAGAACACAAACCTTGGATAAAAATATAAAATTGAGGCTCCATGCAGATGCAATACAATGTAACCAGTTGCAATGCATTACATCAATTAAGTACAAATATTCCACTACTTTTACATCATGCTACAAGAATGCTCACACCAAGTACTTGAAATGTGGTTAAATGAACTATTAAGAAGGGACTCTTAAAGCTGCCCACGATAACACTAACATCACTGCCCTTTCTTTCCTTTACGGCTCCATATTACAAACACCAACAGCAATTCAAATCAGTAATACAACAAAATCTGGACTATGGTCTTCTACGTTAGTCAGGTGTAGGTGGTTACCACAGTTTGGGAGGAACATGCCGCCTTTCTTAAGATTAAGGCATGTTCACTTGTATTGTCAGCAAACCACCTACCAGACTGCATGGTGTCATAACCCAAAACAAAGTCTTCACCATAATGAAAACCCTGGATATATACATAAAAAAAAACATTTAAACCCTAACATTCTATACACTACTGAGGAGTATATCTGGGCCTAAGGGCACAAAATAACAGCAGGCAGGAGAAAACTACATAACAAGGAACTTCATTTTTTGTACTCTATTTAGGATGGCCAAATCATGGAGGATAAGACTGGTGGGGCATATCACACATGGAAGAGAAGATAAATGCATATCGAATTTTGATAGAAAAACCTGAAGGAAAGAAACCACTTTGAAGACTGCATAAATGACATTACATTAAAATGGACCTTACAGAACTAAGATGAGAGAATGGGGACTGGATTCATCTGGTTCAGGACAGCAGCCAGTGGCAGGCTCTTGTGAACATCCTGACAAACTTCTGGGTTACAGAAAATGCTGGAAATATCTTTTTTAACATTCTGTAAATACTTAACCCTACAATATATATATTCAGACCACCAGGTCATTAACAATTAAAAAGGAAGGTGAGCTATTTATCCCTAAATACTCTGTTTTCTAATGATGCAATAAAATGTAAATGTTACTGTTCAAAATTAATGACCACTTCGCAATCACCTCTTTTAAGCCTCTAATGAATGTTCTCTAGGGCTGAAAAATTAAGAAAATTCCCAACAGCATTCTTTGCAGCTTATTAAGCTTACTTGTGGCATATTTATAAAACCTAAATAATATTTACCACATATGTGGAAAGTCCATTTGCACCCTTAAGTAAAATGGAGTTTATTATGGGTCGATATGGCTGAATACTGGAACTGTACAAAGAAACTTTGGTGAAACATTCATTGTGAATTAAAAAACTGTCCAGTGGTTCAGGTGCTTATACTAGGTCAGAGAGAGATGGACAGACAGAATGAAACATAACTAAAGTATTTTTCCATTTTGTGAAGGATGCATTACAAGTTCAAATTAAATACTTTGCCTCTGATCAATCTGTTAACTTCTTCATGTATCGGTATCATTCTGCATTTCATTTTTGAGTTATCACAGTTGTTTCAGTGATTTCAGAGTACTCTTATTTTTACAAGCTAACATGACAAACAGAAGAACAGCCAAAATGCATTAAGACCACGCATTATGTAACAGCACAATGCCACCCAAAAGAAACTGTCTAACTGAAACCTTTGTCCATAGGACAGACCTTACTTCAATCTTTATGGTATCAAGTGCAATGCTACTCACGTCATATATCCAATATCACAGTAACATTACAACAATTTCCCCATTTGTTTAACTGGTTGTATTAATAATAGATTTCTCACCATCTGTGATAGAATGAGATGGTTGCTGCAAATGTACTTGGATGTATTAATTTCATGATCAAATATATCTGAGATTATCTGCAACTTGCAACAAAACACATAATGATATGTGAACACACTATGGTGGCTTCATATCTCCCTTAGAGATATAGTGACAGATGATAAGCTCTAAACTTTATCACATACTGGGTTAAACTTTACACCTTCTTAACATTCAAGTACATATATAACATTCTAAGCCATTACCATCAAGCAGTCAGGTAGACAGGCCACTTGTTGACCCATTCTGACCTTATTCTTCTACGAACCTCTTTAAATGTATTCCTCTGTTCCTCCATCCATGTAGTTTGAAATTTTTCAGTAGTCTTAGAAATCTGTTTCTTTGCATTCTGTCAATATGATAAATCAAACTGGGTTCATACTTCAAAATTTTGTTTAATATGGGTTTTGATTTTATTTCATCTAAAATGTCCTCATTTGTTTTATGGTCCATCCACATATAATTTGCCATTCACCTTACAAACTGAGGTCATCAGAGCCACAATCATGCATTGCTATTACTGACAGAGAAATGGTGATTAAATGTAATGATATATCCCAGCCAGAACTGAACCTACAGTCTCAGCTAACAAGACTATCACTCTTCATCAGAATTACTCAGACAGATGACGTGCATCTTGCCTACATCTGCAGCTGAAATGCAGCCAAATTCACTGCACCTGTATGATTTACACAATTCTGCATTTATATTAGCATCTTATTTCCAAACATGCCTTCAGCATTAAATATGACACGATGTTTACACATGTAACTCAAAGCAGTGAAATTCATATGTCATGATTTCCAGTGGAATGGCTATTCTTACACTAAAATGAGATTTTCATTATATGGGGTTTACTGTAAACTTACACCAACAGAATATTCATCTTCTTAGAAGACACACTGTGTATAATTATGATAAAATAATTTCTTTGCATTAAGCATAACGAAATTGTTTCTAGGCAAAAACAGTAATGATATAAGAAACATATAGAATGGTTTCTGGAAACAATTTCAAGCAGAGAGAAAATGTAAATATCCATTGTGTTGCAATCACAAAATATTGATGTATAATTGCCGGAAAACTGAAAATTTCTTACACTGAATTAGGGTTATTTACTGAAATAATTCACTACACACTAAAAAACACTGTTCACACTGGGCTTCAGCTAGAACCAGAAAATTACTCACTAAACACATGACACCACTACATACAGAAACATTAAACAGGGATTATACTGTATATTCTTATGCGAAAACTTCTATTTTCTCAGGTTTTGCATGTGTGACGATAGTATCAGATCACTGTTACACAATAAGATACCGCAGTCACAAAATCTGCCACCAAAACCCCTTCTCCTAACATAGTAAAATGAAGTCAAATTAAAAAGTGTCTGTCCTTCCTAATACAGTAAAATCTTTTGTAAAGTTTAAATAACCTGAAACATTTGACCAACAGCACCCCACACTAAGAGATTTTAAATGAAACATGCAAGGGATCAAAGAGAGTCATTCTGGTGAGGGAGAAATAGCAAATCTGACTTTGCTACAGTTTCCTTTTGATTCATACCAACAAGAAATAAATAATGAATGAGAAAAGCTGCCTTTCAAAATGTAAATCTCTCAGAAAAATATGAAATTTTGTACTTCAAGAACAACATTAATTTTGATGCAAATTTTCTGAAACCATATTATGGACTATACACTTGAGTAGGAGAAAAAAACAGGTGTAGTGTCTTTTAATTGCACGTGTACTGCTTGGGGCAGTTTGAAACTACACACATCATTTTATAAGGAATAGTATGTCTATATCTTATCAGTGATTAATGATATCAGATTGGAGTCGTTTAGGGTCTGACACAATGTAGTTTTACAGACAAGTATCAGTGTTTTGGAGGAACCTGACGCCTCTACCTTCACGCTCCCCTACACACACCTTATAACTTGATAAAGGCACCAGCCCCCTCTAAAAAGTAGACATCTATCAAACTACATGGTTCTCACCTCTCACAAGACAATAATCTTGATGCTCATGGTTCTGAACCATAAATTACACAGTAAGATTAATGCTTCTGGAATCAATGTTTGAGCAACTTACAGTTCTTCACCACTCAGTGAAAAGATGTGCTAACATATCAATGCACTAAACTAATTAGAAAATTACCTTAACTTCCAGTACATGTTGTAGCTCCCTCATCTTAAAAAATTATCCCTATAGATATCAAGTGTGATTAAAAAGGATCAACTATCTCAACCACTAGTGAAAAAATAAAATCTAATGCATCAGATGAAACAACCACACTTCATTAAAGGCTAAGAAATAAAAACCAAAGTCAGAGATGAAATTAATTCAGTACACCTGTTCTATGAAGTGATTCATTTGAGCAATGACATCACAAAACAGGTGTCACCTATTATACATTTAACAAGAAGTTTCATGACAGCCAACTTAGAAGGAAGGAATCTCATAAAACATTATCTTACTTAGGGTTTACTCATGGGATATGAAAAAAACTGCATGCAGAACATTCAGATGAATGCAGTACAAACTCACATTATGTTTATGACAGAAAACAAGCTAACATAATATTTGCTAATGTTAATTTGTGCGGACACTTTTGAAGCAACTGTAAAACAATCACCATTTCCCAACAATAAATAAATTCCTACACTCAAAAAGCCACTGGCTGATATATATTCCACCCTTCCACAGAAGAACTGGGGTGAGATGCCATAATTTTGAGTTCTTATATGTGGTGCAATCCAGAAGTTCCCAAAATTTGAATTTTGTGCGCGAATGGTTATGAGTACATCGGAATACCACTAGGTGTCTCCCCACACACCCTTCTTGAATCAGTGTGGCAAGTGGCATCAAGTTGAGTGGTTGGGTTTATTGTTGGTGAATGTATTTCCATTGTCATTTTTCCGTGAGTTTGCGGTTTTGCAATGGCTGACCTGAGAGAGCAGCATGTCTGTATAGAGTTTTGTTTTAAACTTGGGAAAACTGCTGCAGAAACGCACCAAATGTTGAAGCAAGCTTTTGGTGACAACAGACACAAACTTACAACTGGCATAAGCGTTTCAAAAATGGCCAAATATCGACTTATGACGACGATCATTTAGGACTGCCGTCAAATGGCACCACAACAGGAAATATCGCGAAAGTTGGGGATCTGATTCTGCAAGGTCGTAGACTGACCATGCAAGACCTCTATAACACCTTGTGATTAAGTTATGATACATGTCAACGAATTGTCAGAGGAACTGAACATAAGGAAGATTGCGGTGAAGTTTATGCCATGACTGCTGCAAAATGAACAGAAGCAGCATCGCCTGGAAGTCTGTAGGGAATTTCAACAACAGCTTCAAGAGGATCCAAACTTTATTTTGAAGGTTGTCATTGGTGACGAAAGTTGGGTTTATGGCTGCGACCCAGAAAGTAAGCAGCAACTGTCGCAATGGAAGAGCCCTTCTTCAGCTCGGTCAAAAAAAGCTCGACAAGTCAAGTGAGTCCATGTTGATCTGTTTCTTCAATACTGACAGGATTGTTCATAAGGAGTTCGTCTCTCCTGGTCCGAGAATCAACAGCGTTCTATCACAATGTTCTAAGGCGTCTGAGGGAGGACATGAGGAGAAAACATCCGGAGAAGTGGCACACCAACGACTGGGTACTCCACCATGACAACATGCAAACAGCTTACACTGTGCAGGAATTTTTGGCTAAAAACAAGATGGCAGTTGTTCCCCAACCACCGTACTCGCCAGACTTAGCTCCATGTGACTTATTTCTCTTCCCCAAGATGAAAATCTTGATTTGATACAGCAGAGGAAATTCAAGCGGAAGCGCAGATGGTACTAAACACCCTAACAAAGAAAGACTTCCAGGGTGCATTTCAAAAGTAGCAGAAACGTTGGGATCGATGTATGCGCTCCCAAGGGGACTACTTTAAAGGTGATGGTGCAGAATAAGATCCAGGCATGACATAATAGTTTTTATGAATATATTTTGGGAACTTTTGGATTGCACAAGGTATTTAGTTTCCTCTTAATTTCATATTTCTGAAAAGAAGGCATCTAATATTTTACTTTCCTCCTAAAACTTAATAAATATGTGAGGGACATAATTTTGGCTTCAAAGTTCCATGATTCTGAACCATTAGTACTAGATACTTGATCTCAAAGCAGTCCATGAAGCTACAAATGCAGATAAATTCACAAACTGGCCTACTTCTAAAGAACTTCAAGTAACAAAACATTTACAGGATAGTTTATGTTTTTTAACTGTTAGTGTATATGGTACATTCTGAAAGAAATTGAGAAGAAGCATTACAGCACTAATTCAACCGGAGCTCCTGCATCAGAACAGTCAGTACTTACCCAATGATGGAGTGAGTGGCCATAATGAAGTCAGGTTCCTGAGTAAGAGTGCCATTCGATTTAAACAGCTTCGACTTGGTCTGCACATGAATGTATTTGTCAGGGGCAGTGACCCGCAGCCTATATGGTGCACTGGTGCTATGTCCCGCATTCACAGCCTCTTTCAGATGGTTTGCTAACTTCTGTAGATCATGCTGATGACATAGCTCTTGTATGATGCAGCCCATAAGATCCTGCACAATAAAACAGGAATAGATGTTCCCTCATGTGTATTCAAAGACCTCACAAAGAAATTCAGAAATAAGCCGCATTCTTCACAGATTATACCAGAAGCACACACAAAATATGTTTTCAAGGGTAAGAATCTCTTGACACTCGTATTGCCATGAATCTCACTCAATTCTTTTGCAGATACAACCCAAAGAGCTTCACTTGCAGTATACTATCTGACACACTAGAATATAGTTATCTGTTACTGAGACTTCAACTGATACAGACCAAACACATCCAGTTCAATTCTTATGTATCTCCCGATGAAACATGTTAGTAATATCCAGAGTGGTCAAATAACCTGGTATCTTTCTTATTTTTAATTTCACTGCCTTTAATTTTCATTAAATATATACAAATCAATTAATTTTAATACTACCAATTTTAGCCATCTATGAATCTTAACTAGCCTCTTAGTGAAGGCTAAACGGAATGGAACTGTTTGAAAGCAGACTAGATAAGATTCATAGACGGCTATATATATAAAATGTGGTGTGTTATGTGTCGTCCACCGCTGAGCATCGAAACAATGGAAATTGTTGAGACCGTTGCATAGGAATATCCTTAGCAAGCAGTGCTCATTGTGTAACAACGCTCAGTAAACACCCCTCCCCGCTAGGCTGTGAAATCGTGCAACAGGGGAGTCCGTGCAGAGACGGCTGCTAGGCAATCAGTAAACACGTTTTCTGTGTGGTCAGGGTGAAAGCTACATAATGAGAGTACTCATCAGTGTTGATGAAGTACTGAGTACTACTACTGAGCAAAGTTACGAGTTACGAGGATTGAGCAGTTGAGAGCGTCGGAAGCAGGCACAATGGAACCAAGAATGCCATGTGTGATGTAGAAGAATTCATGTGTGTGATAGTGCGTGCAACAGTGGATTATGAGGTGTGTGTAACCAAGCTGTCAATAAATCCAATCATTCAAACTAAAACTCGTCATTTTGTCACACGTGACTACATATATATATATATGGGGCCGCGCCACAGCTCAAGCGTTTAGTCGCTGGCTTCCCACCACGGCGGCCCGGGTTCGATTCCGAGTCTGGTTAAGCGGGATTTGTGGTGGACAAAATGGTGCTGGGGTTGGTTTTCTCCGAGTCCTTCAGTTTGACCTGCCAATCTTCATTCCACCAACTGCTCCACCATCACCCTCATCTATCATCTGGGGCTGGTACAATAGGCCAAAAGTGGCCGCAGTACAAGGGCCTTAGTCCCACCCCACTAGCAATAAAAATAATATATATATATATATATATATATATAAAAGGAATTAATATGGAATGCTGTTAATGCAAAAGTCTTGCAAGTCAAACCTGTGTCGGACGGGGGATGTCCTACTACTAGCAGCATGGTGAACATGTAATTGGTTTCTTTAATTTTTAGCGTATTTTCCCTTACAAATAACTATTATATTGTGATGACAAAAATATAAAATCACTGTTGACTGTTAAGTCCATATTTTAAAATTTGAGCAAATTCAGGCACTCCCTTCATGGTAGCTTTCAATATCAATATGTCCCACTGAGCACAAAAAATGAATAGTAGCAACAAGTACGTGTAACATGCATGTCATAAGAATCTCCACTGTTACCAGGAATTCGTACTGATCTCCATTTACCACAAAATGATATTTCATTCCAAAATCAAATAATATAAGAACCATTCAAGACTATCTCATCCTCACTAAAAAGAAAAAAAAAAGAAAAGTAAAGGTATCCCTGTAAGAGGCCCATTGGGTTGTGAGAAGTTGAGGGTCCCACATTTTCTAGACAACTGGCTCAGAGATGGCGGTAAGGTTGTCAGCTCTACATGCTGGCTGCCCCGTACCCCCAAGAATATTCCTAGTACTCATTTCTGTTAGAAGCTGAGTCGACCCCAGGATCATAGTGTGGCTGGAAGGATTAGGTCAATTGAAAAAAAATCCAATAACCTCATCGGGACTTGAACCCGTGATCTTCCAGTTTGTAACATAGTGCGTCAACCAACTATGCTACCATGTGCCCCTATCCTCGCTAAAACATGTCCAAATAGCAAAAGCAATTCCATCCATCTTAAGTTAACATGAGAGCTATGACATTAAAAATATTCATGAGGACACCAACACTGAATATTACTGCAATTTGTACAAATTTTTGTAAACACAGTAATGAGCCACGGGTTCCACAGAAGGCAGTGAACTTTAAGAGTACCTTAATTACAATTAGCTTCTCATGAAGGGCTCTGCTCTAAGAAGTCAGTTAATAAATGGAATGACAGTGGTGACATACAACACTTTCTCAAAAAGCATGGAGTAGAAGATAATTCTCCACAATATTTATATCCATACTTCCACCAACCAGTCAATAAAAATATGAGGGGAGAGAAGTAGAGTACGGTAAGTCATCTGCATAAAAAGCAAGACTGCCCTTTATGACTAACCTTATTGAGGTACTGTGAATATGTAGATGAGACACCACTGGTATCTACACCAATAATCTTTCCAGTGGTATCCAGCTTAGTGGTAAATTGTTCAAATGGTACCCCAGTTGTCTTCTCATTTTGAGGGATACGCCGTGCAACACACATGAGGCATGGACCCACTTCTGCAGATTCTGAAGTGATGTCTCCACCTTCTGCCTTCTCACTTGGGTATGGTAGTAATGTGGATGAGATCTGAAAATGCAAATTACATTCCAAGTTTTAGCTCAAAATACAATGCGAATGGCACTAAGTCAAATGAACTTGCACACTGAGCAATGAAAAAACTGTAACACAAAAAGACAGAAATAATCCTTGATATACAGAGCAAGTGGAAATTCATACTTACTGACTCCATCATATAATTCCTCAATTAACATTCAGACAAAAATGTCACTTAATAAAATTATGACTGGAACATAATTTTAATGGAAAATGAGAATGCAGCTGAATGTCATGTAACAATATAACATATGCAGCCCATTATCACATTCTCGATGAAATTTATGCATCTATCCAAAGTTTATCAAGGGACACTTCATCTTAATAATCAAGAAATCATTCACCAAGTCCACAGGCACAAACTTCTAGACATTCTGCACGTGCTATTAATTCACTTCATACAGTTTTTCCGACATTTTGAGGAGACTATATGTCTTACGGACTTCTACTTCTGACATTATAACCCCATACAAAGTAGGATTTTCCATTTCTGTTTCCTTCAAAATTATTTAACTTCTCAAGGCCCATAACAATAAAATTATCATCAGCACCTTTCACCTAAAGAGGTCAAAATCAACAATGAATTAAGTGCATGTCTCCATGGGCAGTCAGCTGTGTCAACGGGGGTAATGATTTCCCACACAAATAAATTCCATCAGCGCTGACTACTCAAGAAGACAAGTAAATGCTTGCTGTACAAGATAAAAATCTTATACTAAATGAAGCAACACATTACGCTAAGCTTCTATATATATTGTGAGGTGTTGATATATATATCTGAATATATTATTACACTTTTCAACACACAATACAATGAAATTATCACAATAATCACTTAAAACATGGCCCAGTAATACACTATATATAGTGCCATCATTACACACCTGTGAAATAATATAAAAGAAATCAGTACAACAGTGAATGAGTGTGTGTGATGAAAAATTGTATGTTGCAGACAGATATGTTACCTATCTACCTATCAAAGAAAGATAAGGCAAGACACACCTGCATATTTTCGTATTTGGATACTCTCTGTTGCTTTTCCTCCATAGTCTCGTCCTGACTGTCCGGAGGCTTGATCAGAAATCGACAGCTGAAGCTCCGGCTCCTACTGGGGGATGGGTCTGGATTCCAGCCTATGAAAATACACAGGCCTTGAAAAATCATCACATGAATAATACCATTTCTTCCCACAGACACAAGACTGGAACTTCTGCAACTAGTGAACCACACATTTTGAAATTACTTAAGAGCACCCACTTATAAAACAGACAACAACAAAAATGAAGAATTTCCTCTGAGGCTTTCATGTTTCCTAAACCTGTACTGATTCACCTGTTCACTCAATCCAAATGTTACACTTGAGTGTGGGGATGATTACATCTTTGTATCTCAGAATGATAAGGGCTGATGTACGTATAATTGTACCATCCTTTCAGCCCTCATGCTTCTGAGGTATGGAACTGTTACAGAACTGACAAAATTAGCCATAACATATATATATATGAGAACTACATTATTCAATTATCCATTAAATGGTACTCAAGAACACAGGTCATAAGACCATCTAACTCATGTTCATACTGACAGCATGAACTTCTTGAAACAGAATGGGCTGATTTTACCATTCTTCTTTACCACATGACAAAATGATATGTGATCACCGCCAGTTTATGCCAAACAATTAATTCTGAAAATATTTATATTCAAGGCAATGTTGCCAAGGTGACATAATGGTAAATGGGGATATGTTTCTGGGGTACAGGGAAGTGATAGTGAAGGAGAGACAAGTACAACATGGAAGAGAAAGAGTGAATGAAACCTCTGTATTTTACTGTACTTTAACAGAATACAGAACACCACAAAGTCTACTACATTCAAAATAGTGTTCACTTTCCTGGCTCACACATGTGAATACAGCACTATATGCAAGAGTGCACATCACAATGTCACTCAAATAAGGGCTGCACATGTGTGCAGTGATATTTTCCTGGAATGCAGCAATGCTTTGTGGCTAGTTGTCATATACTACAGGTTTAAAGTGACCCCACAAGAGGAAATTTAGTGGTGTTAAGTCTGGAGAACAGTACTGTCAACAGATACAACACTATGTACTGGTTGGATGAAAATCTTCACACATCTCTTCGTGCTCACCACCAAATCAACGCCTAAATCAATCTGTGGACGGAGGCCTGTTTTCCTTGGCAACAGGCTAACAGGTGACAGTTACTCTTGATATTACCACCTTGCGTGACGCCATCCAGCAGGATGGAGCATTGCCACACTTCAGCTGTAGTGTGCCAGTGGTTAGATCGGTTCTGTCTGGACACTGAACTGGTTGAAGGAAACTGTGAAATGGCAACCACATTCCCAGTACCCTGCACCACTGTGGGGTCACTTGAAATATGATAAATGGCTGTAAAGCATTGTTCCACTACAGGATAGTATCACTGCAGCATGTATAGCCAATACCCCAGTAACACTACAACATGTGCCCCCTAGCATATGGTGCAACATTCACATGTGTGAGCAACAAGTCAGGCACCAAACTGATTGTTTATTGAAGTGAATGCACAAAGCTTTATGATATTCCACATGAACATATGGCTTTTTAGACTTGCAACATTTTGCTACAGTTGGCCACAATGCAACACCATTTTTGCAGGAGTGCACCTAAACAAAATGGTTTTGTTCGCTGTTCCTGTTTCATGTTGTGTATATCTCTCCTTTGCTAGTAATTTCCCAACCCTGGCAACATGTCACCTTGGCAACACTGTCATAACTAATTACTGATCTGCACAGAACGCCATGCTGTAACAGATAGAAAAAAAAATCCAACATTTCAGATTGGAAAAAACAGATCTGAAATAATCTTATCTTCTCTACAATTTTTTGTATTTTGCCAAATAAATGAGGTCCTCTCTGGCCTGGGACAATGGAGAACATATACAACTAATTATATGTGATGGTAAAATTTAAACTGAAACACAGTGTGATGCATTTCTTTTACAATGCTATGGAATTTATTTATGGCAAACTAACTTCCAGCTGTGTTAACCAGCACATTGGTGAAACAATAAACATTCAGATTACACCCTTCTGGGAAATGATGTATTTCGGAAGATAAGTAGCAACATTCTGGAGAAACCTGAAGATGGAACGTGAAGGTTCCTCTTAACCTCTGGTACCTATCTACCAAATTACATAGCAGTGAATCCCAGAAGACCGAGACCTTAATATTCATACCTCAAAACTCGACACTGTAGCCCTTCAGTCAAGACTTGTCAATCTGCAAACTTAATTATATAGAAGTGTCTTATAAAAACATGTGGCTGGCTTTCTGCTAACCTATTGACATGGGCAGTAGGCTGGCACTGAACCGTGCATGGTCTCCAAGGTGGATGATGTTGTAAATACTTTGGCCAAGGACATCTTCCTTGGTATATTTGATGAACTGGCATACATTCTCTGTGACATACTCCACCTTTCCCTCCGTGTTAACCACAAACAAGAAGCCCTCAAGGGCCTGCAACAAAGCAATCACATCTCAGACAGAGAATAACATTGTAACATTCACATGACTAATAACTGATACTGACAGCATATAACAGTAAAATTACTATATTACCCTATCAACTACTAACAATAACAGAAAACAATCCTTAACACATTGACTGTCATTGTGACTTTCTATATATTTTTTGTCCCTTGTTGTAACATACTGTAACACTTATCCCATTTGGACCAGCAGCCACTTAAGATCTTACTGCCAGCTTGTCTCTGGCCAGTACTATTTCACATACACCACTGTTCTATCCTCACCCTGCATCTTGCAACAAGCTCACTCATGATTCACTGTGTGCACTACTCAATGCATACTTGTGAGACACATCAGTGCTAGCCTTCCACATTCACTAAGGCTGAACTGGCTCACTGGAGGCCAACAGCCACCATTTTATACGTATAATATTTCTAGAACTGTCCTATGCTTTTGAGAGTGCACTAAGCACTCAGCGTTTCTTGAAGAGAAAAGTGGTGTGGAACCTGTGGTGAACAAGAGGCATGTGCAAGCTGGCATATGCACTGATACCCGCCTATTGCACTACACAGTGTCACATTCCAGAACAGCATAATCTTAATACTGATGGCTGTGAAAAATATCAAAATTTAACTTCGTACACTTTCTCATCCTTCCTTATTTTCCTATTCTGTCTTTATTTTCTAGAACAAAATGCCCATGTATAAATTGCAAGCCAAACAAATAAGTAGATGTAAAATTTTATAATGAATTGTAACTCAATAGTATGACACAAAACAGCTTGCCGTGGGATGGATGAACCTTTGACATTTGCTGCAGCAAGGAAAAGCACTAAAATCTATGCTAAAAAGCGTACAGTTGTCCCTGTGTTTTATTACTTGGGAAGCACAGAGCCATTAAAACGTAAGGGGGAGTGGAGGCATGGGTCAAAAATAATTTCTGCCATTAATCTTATAAAAATACTGTGGTTACTATATGTATCACCTGCTTTAACATTTAAAGTAACCTGCATTTTAACCGCAGTGTGTATATGTATGTTCTGCACAATTCTCACAATAAACAGTGATAATTTCCCTAAACAGTATTAACTGTCTGGTCTTTGTATCAGAAGCACAGTGTGGCATCTGAGATGAGAACTGATTGTGAATATTCTTTATATGAATTCCAGGCTTCAAAGGATTGAACAGATTGTGAACACATTTCCAGCACAGAAATATATGTATTTTAGCAGACACCTCATATATTTCTCACTGTCAGTCTGCACATTTTTATTTGCTGTTTCCAGCATATAATTTATTTTCAGTCAGACAGCTCCAAAACCCATCTAAAATAATGACTACTGCAATAAAGCAATAGTCGTGTTTCATGTTCACTAACATGAGGTAACAATACTTATATTATTCAAAAAATAAAAGTAAAAAAAAAAGTAAAGCTATCCCTGTAACAGGTTGCGAAGACCCATAGGGTTGTGAGACGTTGAGGGTCCCACATTATCTAGACAATTGGCTCAAAGATGGCGGTAAGGTTGTCAGCCTTACGCGCTGGCCTCGCTTTACTCCCCAGGAAAATCATTTAATTAATTCCTGGTACTCATTTCTGTTAGAGGCTGAGTCGACCTTAGGGCCATAGTGTGGCCAGAAGGATTTTTAAATAATGCTTCGTCTTATGATACATTCTTGATGTCCCAATAAAATGCATGTAAGCATTTTCATAACATTGTAAATATGCATAATCATACTGCTGGTAGCAATACCCTTCTAACATAAGCATTTATTACAAGACACTAAATAATGTGCCATGGTCTAGGCTATTTAAATGGCCTCCAACACCCCTAACAATCATCATCAACATGCATTCCTTATTAGCTCATAATGTTTATACTGCAATATTGACATAAGTCAGCTGTTAATCGCTCTAAAAAGAAAACATAACTAAAATTATTATGGCAAGGCATCCTTCATGTTCATGACAATTTCTGATGAAGCGGCACTTCAAATGTTCAACATTAACTAGGTAAACAATGCTACTATGTGTTATTCTCGTTCATAAAACAGTCCCTAAACAGCTGCCACAGTNCAATCATACTGCTGGTACCAAAACCAGTATTAATACCCTTCTAACATAAGCATTTATTACAAGACACTAAATAATGTGCCATGGTCTAGGCTATTTAAATGGCCTCCAACACCCCTAACAATCATCATCAACATGCATTCCTTATTAGCTCATAATGTTTATACTGCAATATTGACATAAGTCAGCTGTTAATCGCTCTAAAAAGAAAACATAACTAAAATTATTATGGCAAGGCATCCTTCATGTTCATGACAATTTCTGATGAAGCAGCACTTCAAATGTTCAACATTAACTAGGTAAACAATGCTACTATGTGTTATTCTCGTTCATAAAACAGTCCCTAAACAGCTGCCACAGTAATAATATAATATAACCTCAACTAAGCTTCTCAGTTGTCACATAACTGCATAAATTATACATGATATAAAAGGAACAGGAGGAATATTTTCACACTCCTTGCTACTGCTGATGATAAACAACAATGAAGAATGGATCTAGTACATTTCGGAAATAACTCAAGTTTACTTCAGAGATGAAGGCAGTAGGATCCTCCAAAACGCCAGTAACTTCACAGAACATGTGCTGATTCAATGGAGAAATGCCCTCTTCAAGTTAATGCAAACTTTTTTTTAAATGTCTTAATAAGTTTCATCGTAATTACCTTACTTTCTTTATTTTCTAACACATATGTTAATTTTATGTTTCACTTCATTAAAATATTTTAATATGATTTTCTCTTTTTTTTCTTTTTCATGTTTCTTCCATTGAACTGCACAGGAAAAATCATTATCTGAAGTGCACTACTGTGCCTTCAGCTGCAAAAGTCAGGAACTATTATAAGCAATGAACAGAAGCTCCTTGAATTCTCTTTTTGTTGCTTTCCTAAACAGACAAATTCTGGAAAAGGACTTAAAAATAGGCCACAACCCCTTCTGCTCCCTTGGTCATCTGTAATAATCCTGAAGTCTCATCACAACATAATCACGGCAATTTAGAGTTATAAAATTAACTACAACACAGAAACCTAGGCCAAACTATGCGGAGAATGAGTGACCTGCAAATCCCACAAAAATAACATACCTGATTCCTTTCTAATAATATGTCCGCTTAGTCCACTGTATTAATATATGGCAAGAAATGCCACTGAAAAAAAATGCCCATGTTATTTTATTTGACTCATTCCTTTAAGATTTAGCAACAAACACTGCTTTGTACTACTGCTGTCTGTTATGATTTGTCTCCCAATAACATTATTTCCGCTCAGAATCCATTATATAAATTAAATTACCTGGCATGTTACAGTAGTTCAACATTTTATAGCATACAGTTATATTTATATTATACCCCAGTGATAAAGGCAATCGGACAAAACAAATCTGGTTTCTAAACTTCAGTTCTTGAAGCTCTATATTCAATTTAAATTTTAATCTCACTTGGATGACAATCATAATGAAGATATAAATAACGTGTGGTTTGGTTGTAAAGCTATCTGCAATGAGCATTCTATTGTGGGAGGGCTGAAATGTGCAAATTTTTTCCAGCTACACTTCAGCAGAATTAACCATCTTCCAAAACAAGTGACTAAACCCTGACTAGCTATTTAAATGTACAGCACTACCAGACAGGCAGAAAATAAAGGAACATGTAGATATGAAGTGTCCATGACTGGTAATAAAATGAAGGCTAAAGGCTGAAGTCTGATATCAGTCCCACACTAAAGCTGAAGTATTGCTAATCAACGAACAAAGGAGCTGAGTGTGATCGCATGTGTACATGTGTGCACATGAGTGCCTGTGTCTGTATCTGTCTGTCCAGCCGTATGTGTGTTCATGTTTCCTAAACTGTTCTGTCACAAAACAAAGGGCAATTAGAAATTTTCGAAAGCCTATTCTTACACTGAACCTCCTATTTTGCTCTACATTTCACAAAACAATTATTACTGAAAATCACAGAGGAACTGGAGCCAATGCATGCAAGGAACTCTTCTGCCAACAGTCTGAACATTTCATGACTTGTACATGATCATTTTCAAGTGTTTAGTCTACCATAGGNATCTGAACATTACAGCCGTGAATCATGACTTGTACATGATCATTTTCAAGTGTTTAGTCTACCATAGGAGGGCATACATAACTATAAATAGCCATGTTATCCCACCTCTATGGCTGAGATACACTTCTCTTAGAACATTCTCCTGATGCCCCACAGCAGAGCTAAGACTGTCCAATACTGTCCTATTTAGGTTTGCCAGCAACTTGGTTACAGAATGTAAATGACACTGCAATGATGATTAATGAACATGTTCAACAATGTCAACTTCCTTTCATGCAACTTAACATTTTGAATGCACGAGATTATTATTTAATTTTGAATTACTCTTACAATAAAAATATAACTCAAGTTATTAAGGATACGATTCAGTAGTGAGTTGTGTGTACAATAGCGAACTCTGAAATACCAATGAATGTGTGAATAAGAATATATTTTAAACTAAGAGAAACACATTCATAAAATGTAGTAACTAATACAGCATACAAATTGGAAACTTATCCTCATGTTATATTAATGGATATGGCATGCTTTACTGCAAAATTAATTTCCTTTAACAAGGTGGGTGGGAGATAATGGATGGAAGTTAATTTGTAGCTGACTGATAGCTTCCTTTATGTTTATGTTTAAATTATAAATTACGCTGCTTTGTATCACACTTCACATCCCCTCCACATCTGAAATGACATCAAAGCATATGGTGTGGCAAACAAGATGTTGCTGACAAACATAAGTGCGAGGAAAAGAAGCTGATAATCAAGCACAAAGAAGGAGAAATTACAGAAACTGTTACAGCAATATCAGGCAGAAATACAAACACTACTATAAAGACAACAGGGATGTCAACCTTTTAATGAAAAAACCACTGGATATGAAAAATATAGATGAAATGAAGTGTTATGCATCTACAATGCATTAAGTCATATTTTAATGTCTTTAAGTTTATGTAACACTTGGCATAAGACACAAACACACGCTACTTCCACAAGGTCTTATCCTTCGCTGATACGACTTCTTATGTTATTGGTCATTAATCTGCTAATGGAATACATCGTGGTATATTTGTTGAGCGTAACATTACAAGCCTACCTGCAAACACAATGATACATTTTTATAATATTAAACTTTCACAGGGAGAATATATACAACGATGGTAGGGCCAGGATTCTGGAAACTGGAAGTGACAGTAAGTACAGGAAATCTAAGGAATCGGCCCATATGGCATGCTTAGCCAACATGCTCAGGCAACCCAGTTTGGACATTTCTCCCTTCTGCATCCCCTTATTGGCAATGAGGTTAACAACTCACACAGAAGATCAGATTCTTCATGGGTTTCTGTAACATATTAGCCTTGAACGTTCAGTTTTTATTCCACAGATGGTGCTAGGAGTAGGCATAAAATGGTTTCACAAATTCTCCCTTTAATCCTATATTTTAATTTTCATGAGCTTGGTTTGTTCGCTAGGTTTTTCTGCATAATTTTAAACTCTCTTTCTATCTTAGTTTCATGTCTATGCATGCTTTATCACAATTTTTATTGCATATTTTCTTGTTATCTCCCTCTGACAAAGCCTGATCTCAGATATTTACATAGCTGGAGTTATACTGACATGGGTCATCCAGAAGACTACCCTTATCTGGAGACAGCACAAGGTGACTCCCGCCTTCACCTGAAGATTGAAACAAATCCAGTTTCCAAAAAATCACGTTCTCTAGTTTCTCAAATACCCAACAATGGGAAAAGTCCAAAAACCCAGTAATTCTAAGCACAATGAGGTCTTCTTGAATGGCCACCTATGCCAATGTTGAGTTGCTGTCTAACATTTCAGAATCTGTCTCCATCATCAGGGCATTGATCTGGTGACTGTTGCATTCACACAACACACACAGAGCTTACATCCATTCCAGCTGGAATGTATGTAGACTGGTGGGCAGAGTCAGATGTTCATTGATGTCCTGTCCCAGTGAGGACCAAGAGGGAAACTGCTGGCTGCTACTCTGAATTCATATTGCTAATTGTTAGTCATTCCTTGAAAGGTTTCTTCCTTTTCGTAGGTTGGAGGGGGGGGGCTTTCATATTTTATTACTCTCAGGGCCAGGTATCATGAACAGCTTAGTGACAATCTCTTATCTCTGTTGAAGTTACTTAAGTGCAGCAAAATCAACAGACTCCTTATCTGTCAGTTGATGTACTGCATCTCCTGTGAATATAGCAATGTGTACGCTGGACAGATGGGCTATGCCAGGAAGACTGGAGAGTAGCATATACAGTTACACCAACCAGATATATTGGCAATGGAAGAGAATTTCACTTAAGAAGACCAATGANTCATCTCCGCTGCGATGGAGCACAATGCTATGTATAAATACTGCCTGCAAACGCAACATTCATCACATCTGTCACTGATGATGGAGCCAGAAACAGTCTCTACAGAACTCCACTTTGACATGCCATGACTGTTCCTTGCCTTACTTCATAATACTGTAGCAACAACAAGTACAGCAAGTGTCCATTTGTAATGATATACAGTCTGTGAACTGATTTCAATTTACCATTCCCCCTTTCAGCACGTTTGTGATAGAAACTTGCAAAAATGTTACTATTAGCTTCATCATGTCTGTTTGTCTGTTTACCCATCTGCACGACTCAAGAAGAGCTGAATAAATTTTAATAAAATCTGATACTGAAGAGTTTTGACAAAAAAATTTAACTCTTTCCAATTTTGATTAGAACTGGATTGATGTAGTTGGCTGATTCACTGCACTACAAGCCAGAAGGTTGCAGATTTGAGTGCCAATGTCACTGGATTTTTCAACTGACCTATTCCTTCCGGCCACACTATGGTCCTGGGGTCAACTCGACTTCCAAAAGAAATGAGTATTAGGAATATTCCTGGGGGTAAAAGGCGGCCAAACAGTGCGTAAGGCTGACCTCACCGCCATATGTGAGCCGACTGTCTAGAAAATGCGGGAGAGTCTTCACATCTCGCAAACCTATGGGCCTCCACAGCCTGTTATAGGGATAGCCTTACCTTTTAAAAATAACGGATTTAAGTATTATGATTTAAGAGATAATTAAAAAACATAAAATGCATCAGAATTCTTATGATGTGTATACATTTCCTAAGCTGAAGATGCATTCTTCATAGTCACCGCAGTGATAACCTCAAATCTTACATTTCCTAAGCTGTCTGTCCCTTAGATAACAATACACCCAGCAATATTATACAGTGTGCTAAATTCTGCTTTGCTCTAAAATTAAGTTTTTAACTTTTCAATGGTTTTTGAGACAATAAGAACCCTATTTAAACTATATATGTCATTTTAACTGAATATCCTGAAATAAATCCATTACTACCACCAAATGCAATAATTTAAAATCTGTAAAGCAACAAGCACATACACGCACACACACAGGTATACATACATACCGTGTTTATTTATTGGAATTATATTTCAACTATGAAAGAGTGGAAATAGTTAATAACCTTTATGCAATTTCTAATTTTATAAGTTTTCAGATTTTCATGGCAGTGAATATTCTGATTGCAGTTTTCTGGCTACTGCCACAGTGCAATCCTGTATGTGGATACCAGTGTTTCCAAGGTACGTGTATATGTCACATTCACCTCCTTGGTTAAAAACTAGCCACAATCTACTTGAATTTGTATCCTTGTAGTGACTTGGGAATATAGTGAAAATATACTGTTCCGGGGATATAACTGCATACCTCCCATATGTGGGACAAGTTGCCTTATTGCTCTGCTAACCCAAGCAGCTTTCAACTCTGTTTCAAAGAATTAAGACATACATACCTCTAGCAGTAAAGGTCCAAACACCTCGTTGGCTAGGATGGTGGGCTTGGAGGAGGAGACTTCTCCTTGTTGAACAGCATCACTGCTTGTTCCCTCTTGTTGCTTGATGTGCTGAATCTGAAACATGAAGACATCAACAACATAACAACATCGCCTAATGCAACATCTACATTACGGCTTCCAAAACACTTTCCAAAGCTGTCAACCTTGCAACTGTAATAATTTTCCAAAAGAACACTGTATATTCTCGCATAAAAAGAAGCTACCAGAAGACAACAGGGAGTTGTGAGTATAACACACGGAGTCACAGGAGCAAGACACAACATAAAGCACAATACACACACGAAAATAGAAAGAGTGCTCCGACAGAAGAGGATAGATGTGACTCGAGTAGTGAGATACGACGTAGGAAAAATCCTGAACAATTTTAATATTTTTAATATTTAATATTTATCAATATATATGATAAATATATATTTTAATTATTTTAATATGAAGACGACAAGGCATGCAGTGAACTAGTTTAACGTTAATCGAATGAGCACCTGAAGATGGCACTTTTGTGCCGAAACATGTAGTGCGAGAGAGAGGAGTGAAGTAGATAAATGTATGCACTAGGTGACGGTGAAATAAATCATGGACAACAGGGAATTTCTGTGATAGGTTTTCCAGGTTTTATATACTGTCTTCTACTCCAAGGTTATAACACCGATTAAGGCTTAACTAAAGCTGAACAATATTATCCTACCTGATGTACTGTTTCTTTGAGGATGGCGCACTTGTCCGGCTTGACTGAGAGAGAGCTCATGTCAGCAAAGCTGGCAGAAATCAGCTCGGCCAGCTCTTCAATGTAGATATTTTCTTGCTCACGACGCCGCTTCTCATTACGGCACTTATTGCTGTAAAACATGAAAATTTAAAATAAATTATCAATTTATCCACATAGCCAATCATGTGCCTAGAATGTCCAAATTGCTTCCGGTGTGATACAGGCTCAATCCGTTATCACTGGTCTAATGATTGCTCCAAGAAGACTAACCAGAATACACCCTTCCCATTATTTCCTTTGGTCTCAGGCTTTTAGAAGCTTGTTATCCATCACTGGGTAAAAGAATGCAAGTGAATCAAATAAAGAAAATGATGAAACCTCAGGCATGAAGGCCAGACCATGCAATAGGAGCATAAAATACCAGAACAAAGAACCCTGTAGAGAGGTGAGGTCCATGGCAGCGGAAAATCTTATTGTGGTCTTCTGGGCTACTATCATGTATTCTTTCTTTGTAGAAGTCAATGCTGAAGATGGAGGCATCAAATTCACTAAAATGCTCTCACCACATAAAAGGCTACACAGTGTCTGTTTATTTATTATTTAATACGATGTCAATTAACTGTTCATGCTATATTGCATTAAATGGTTCAATAATCACGGCATACTCATAAATGAACTAGAAAGGATATGCAAGGAAGTGGCTGTGGCCTACTTTTAAGTACTATTCTGTAATATTCCTAAAGTGACTGAGCAAAACCACGAAAAACCTCCATAGTAACAGCTGGAGCCCTGGCGGAGGTTCAAAACTTGGGCACCTCCTGAACACAAATCAGAATCAGTATTGCTTAAACCAGCTTCACTGACTGCAAATCGTAAATGAGAAAATAATGACAATGTAAAAGTTTAAAGAACATTTTCCTTCACAAACATTGTTATGTAGTGTAAAACATGAAGAAATCAGTCTTCTGGGATTTGGCACCGTGTATATGTGGTGTTAACCGACGTTTCGGAGGAACGTAGCGCCCCCATCTTCAGGGTTGAAGAAAAAGTATAAGTAAATCTGCAAGCGACAACACCGTGAGACACGGTAAAGCAGNAATCTTACATAGTGTAAAACATGTTCATTATTAGATGTTTGGCCATTAATTATGGGAGTATAATTTTAGGGTTGGAAATGCTGCACACTACATAAGGGTGATGGCCACATGTTCATGATCCTCCTCTTAAAGAGAAGTGTATCAGGAGAGTTTGGCAACCAGTTCCACATTAAATTATGCTGTCATCTCTCACTGCAGACTCTTCTCATATGGGATGGAGGTCGGAAGGCCAAATGAAAAATATTAATTATTTAGACTATGATTCTAAAACATACTAAAATGTACATAATAATTAGAAAATAGCTAAATAAAATACACAAACGATTGCCTTTTTTTAAACAAGATAATTTAAGAATATGTGTGTGGAGAAATGGTAATCCACAGGGCAAGAAACAATTTTTGTGGTCAGGCGAGTTCAAAAGATTGTAAACCATTCAATGAGTATTGCTAATAGTTCCATCTAAATGTAACATGTTGCTAACTTTCTGCACACGCATACCTTAAAAACATGAGATCCAAGAGTACAAGCTTTATGAAGTTACAAATGATACTTTACCTCTGCGCTATTCTTTTCTACGTAACATAACATAACATTGCATTGCATTCCATGGATCCAAAGTTAAAACAATGACTCTAAGATGTGGAATATGTTCTGAAACACAGAACTCGCACAAAACATGCAAACTGCAGTAACACCATCTCCACACAAACTGGGGACCTACAACAAACGCCATTTAAATGTAGTTGCCTTTATTCATCCCATATGATACTTTAACTGATAAACTACACGAAGCAAAGCCCTTCTTTAAAATCTTATCAGGAAATTCCCGGCATTTATGGAACCCAAACATTCATTAGAGTGTTCACAACAACCTGCCACTCTGTCCCTACATAAGCCACATGAATCCAGTCCACGCCCTCTCATACTATTTCAACGTCTATTTTAGTATTACCCTCCCATCTATGCCTACGCGTTCCCAGTTATCTCTTAACTGTGGCCCAAGAACATATTCATTTTCAGTAACACTCAAAACTCCGTGATTTTAGTCCTCAAGCGAACTATACCGACCGAGCGACCGCCGCTTGTCGGCGAAGTTTAGTGCCAACTTTCGCGGGTAGAGGGTGTCGCGTGGTCAGCACAACGAATCCCACAGCCGTTAATTTCGGTTTTCTAGACCGGAGCCGCTATTTCCTTGAAATAGCTCCTCAATTATCATAACGAGGCTGAGTGGACCCCGTTCCAGGCCTACTACATCTCAGAACATTTTGGTAGCGCCAGGAATAGAACCCGGACCTCTGGATCTGTAGTCAGGAACGCTGACCACCAGACCACCACACTCAGATAACACAATTAAAAACTATCCACCATGGGAACCATCCACATCTTGACAATTCCCTCCAAAGTACAAATAATGTAGTAGTGAGACGTCGCTAATGAACACTGAACATGGACTGCCTGCCTGGTACAAGTGTTTATATGGTCATTTGTCTAGCATTTCTGACATCGCGTCTGATGGCCCTTATATATGAAGCAATAACAAAATAGTAGAAGCTTGCATGGACTCCTTCAACCCTTTCAAGCAAAAGATGAAAGTAATGTCTCTGACTTGGAAGATGAGCACTCCTATTCCTTCAACAGTTAACAAAACAAAACATTGCAATTCAGGAAACCTCCCTTATATCTAATGCATAATGGCTGGCCTTTCCGCTACTTTCTCAAAGTCAGCAACATGCTATTCCCTTCGCACTCGAGAGAACTAACCCATTACCTAGATGGCAGCTCAACTACCTACTAAGGGACACAAAAAACAATCCAACGCATTGGCCCCATTACACCACCGTCGAGTTCTTGTAATTTCCCCCTCCACTGTAGATCCCCCAGTCCACTTGCCATTCTCTTCACAGCACTGTGGTAGTGATAACCACACGATAATCCTCACTATACAGCAACACGCGATATGACAAACTGACGTGCACCGGAGTGGAACGGTGGGATATGGTCACGTGGGCAGGAAGAAGGAAGCCTCGAGTGCCTTCATCAGCAACTGGGAACGTCTTCCCGTGGTCTCAGTATCGCCAACTGCAGGGCATACTTAAATTAACTAAATTAACAAGGTACCTAATCAACCGGGAGCCGACATTGCGTAGTCGGTATAACGACTGGCTACGGGCTGGACGAACGAGGCATCGGAGTTCACGTACCGGTAGGGTAAAAAATTATCTCTTCTCAGCGTTGTCCAGACCGGTTCTAGGGGTCCACGCAAACTCCTATCCAATGGATACCGGGGGCTGTTTCCTCGGGGGTAAAGCGGCTGGGGCGCGAAGCTGACCACACACCTAAGGCATGAACTGTCTTCGCTCGCTAGAACGCTGGGATCGTGGGAATCCCACTTAGGGCGTGGATGTCTACATTGTGTCAGTTTATTGTGTTTATGTTGTTCTGCGTATAGGTAGAGGCCTTGCGACGGGCTGAACCTCAGTCCAAGGATTCCTACCGACTGTGTATAGGATCAAGTTAACTAAAAAGGCGGCTAAGGGACAATAAAGGGCTGTAAAGCCACTATAATATCATCATCATCAGTAATCTGTCAAGACGACAGGTCCACAGTCTCTTCCAAAACAATTCCTCCACCTAATGCGACCTAGAGCTTTCTTCTTCAAATGACAGTATCCTCTTCTGTCTCCAAGGTCATCCAGCATCTTCTTATGTCGTCTTCCTCGTCTTGTGGTCACTTCTATCCGCCCCTCTATCTTACCTTCAATAACTTCTTTTAGAAAACAGTTTCTGCGTAAAACATTACCAATCCAATTAGCCTTCCGTTTTCTTATTTCGTGTAGGATATTCCTCTGCTCACTGACTCTAAAGAACACTTCTTCATTTCTCACATAATCGGTCCAACTGATCTTCTCCATCCTTCTCCAACACCACATTTCGAAACTTTCCAGATGTCATTATACTATAACCACACATATACCCAACTAACTGGCTCGCAGAACTGACGTAGTCAACTAACAAACAAAATCACAGTACCCCCAAAATTAATTTTTATATTATCCTCTCGCCCTGTATTTCAAGTAACTTCTTTCCTCAACAGTTTCAAACTAATTTTTATAACCATTCTTTGTGTACCCATTAAATGTCCACCTATCTCGAACTCTTTCATACAATGACCCTAGCAACACTGGATGAATAAAATAACAATATTTCTCAGTATAGGCACATATGTTTCACAGCTGTGTTTTAAATATACTCTGTCCTTCCTCAGGATAATAAAAGTTGTTAAATATAACGGTATGCGGTCCATCCCTTTTAATAACGCCCAACTCAAATAGGAAAAGAAAATTTTCAAGACATAATAACAGAAATGCAGGTAAATGAAAGGACAACCTTCATAATACGGTGTCCAAGTGTCTGAGCCGTTTCAGAATGAATCCGCAACATGTGATCTACTGAAGTACTTCGCTACTCCAAACCGGGAGACAACCTTCAAGGGATACAATTATAGCGTGATCACGCAGCAAAGAGTTGCTCATGGATACTGCTGCCTCGTGAAGAGACGTAGAACCTCGAACTTAACTTTATTACTAACTTCTTTTCATGACAAAGATAACGATAACTCAGCATGCAAATGGTTATCAACTTTCTCTTCCTAACAGTCTCTTTAAGGCACGAAAACAATATGTTGCTCACTACATAGAAGTGCGGAGTTTCGAGTTCTGTCACAGGTCTCCAATATACAGGATACTCCATAAGCAATATATGTATACTCGCTGGGGCATTTGTCTTAGTTCCACAACTGCGATTTTCAGTGACAAAGAAAATGTTTACATGTGCCGGAAGAGGCTAATGGGCAAAACACGTTGCTGGTTTCCCAGTAACCCTACATGAGTATAATGTTGGAGCAACTGTGCCAAAACTCCAATACTTCCAGACTTACGTGACACACTATAGTTAACGTTAAAATTAGGGCTTAGTAAAATTTCAGTGCGGGCAGCAAGTGAAAATGGACGTATCAAAAAAAGAAAATCAATA